AGAGAGAACCGTTGTGGAGCCTAGGAGAGCCAGCTCAAGGGCTCAAAGGGCACCAGGAGGCTGTCAGTAATGGTAGGTAGGCATTCAGAGAAAGGGGAACCTTTATGGAGGTTCCTCAAAATGTTGAAAATAGAGCTACCAGATGACCCAGCAATTGCACTACTGGGTATTTACCCTAAAGATACAAATATAGTGATCTGAAGGGACATGTGTACCTGAATGTTTATAGCAGCAATATAAACAATAGCCAAACTATGGAAAGAGCTTAGATGTCTATCCACAGATGAATGGATAAAGAAGATGTGGTGTATGTATATACACAATGGAATATTATGCAGCCACCAAAAATGAAATCTTGCCATTTGCAATGATGTGGATGGTATTATGCTAAGCGAAATAAATCAGAGAAAGACAATTATCATATGATCTCACTGATATGAGAAATTTGAGAAACAAGACAGAAGATCATAGGGGGAAGGGAGGGAAAAATGAAACAAGACAAAACCGGAGAGGGAGACAAACCATAAGAGACTCAGTCTCAGGAAACAAACTGAGGGTTGCTGGAGGAGGTGGGGGTGGGAGGGATGGGATGGCTGGGAGGAGGGTATGTGCTATGGCAAGAAAAATAAAATAAATTAAAAAAAAAGATTTAGGAATATGGGACATGGCTGGGCTCTAGCATACATCTAGATCTGAACCAGTTCTTGTTTTCTTTCTTGCAGGTGAGGGGGGATCTGACAGTAACTAGACTGATCCCCCCAGATTACATCTTTAAAATGATAGAAAGAGGTTGAATGCTGACACTACCTTTTCCTAGTTTTCTCGTCTTGAGAAAGTTACTCACTTCCCTGAGCACCAGTTTCTCTGTCAGTTTAATTGGGCATGGTGATATTTACTGCATAAATATGGTTGAGGATTTCATGAGACATAGTATACAAGGCTTCACTGATTGTGTCTGACAGTGTAGACAGCTATTAGCCAATTAAATCTGCTTACTTTATAATTATCTGCTGACTAATGAGAGGAAATAGCAGGGTATTATTCCCAGACCACACTAAAATGGACATAATGTGTGGGAAGAGATGTAGAAAACATTAGTTTTGTGAATAATAGGAAATCATTGATGTATCATAACAAGTCACATTTTTAAAAACTTTTTCTGGTGAGGCAGTTCCTTTTTTTTCCATCCAGGCCCTTGGTTCCAGTGGAAGCATTTTAGTTCTTTGTCTGAAGGCCCAGAACCTTTCATGAAATGGTGAGAACAGTCTTACAGAATAGGCTGAAAACAAGCAAAGCAGCACTCACTACCAATTTTCATGTTCTACTGTACAGTAAAGATATAGCCCTGAACATTTTTCTTGCTTTGGTGAAACAATTTTAATTGTTTGAATTGCTAGAATAATAATTATTTCCAGTGGAAATCCAATCGTGTCATTTTTGTTTTTTGTTTTAAAGATTTTATTTACTTACTTGTCAGCAGTGGTCTAGGGAGAAGCAGGCTCCCCACTGAGCAGGGAGCCTGATGTGGGACTCTGTCCCAGGACCCTGCGATCATGACCAGAGCCGGAGGCAGAGGCTTAACGGACTGGGTCACCCTGGTGTCCCTCACTCCCTGGTTTTAAAGATTCCTTTGGCATTCTGAAGTCTGCTCATGGAAATTGGCACCCCTCAACATGGTCGGTTATAGTGTGGCCCCCTCTGACACTTAACTGGGTTCCTTGCCTCTTATCGTCTCACTTCTCACTCCTTTTTTGATATTTCCACTACCTTAAACTGCTTGGTTGATGATTTGTCTCACCAGCATGCTTTTCACATGCAATTCCTGCTGCCTGCAATGCTTTTCCTGGAACCTGCCCTGCACCCCCGTCACCAGCACTTTCCCTGGGACGGAGTTTGTTAGGTGTCCCCGCACACCTTTTTCACAGGAGTCTGTATACGTGGCCATCGCAGTACTTATCACTCATTTCATCATCCCTCACTGGGTTGAAGGGACGTGGAAGCCAGGAAGTGGGCCTCACATAAATATCCTTGAATTAAACCTCTGTTGTATGAATGTATGAAGCCTAGCGATCCCTCTCTTATTTCCAGTACCAGTAGGACTGGGACTCCTCTTCTGATATGTTGGGAGACAGGGACACAGACACCAGTTCCTGATTGTGAAATTGCAATCAGGATAAGATACACATCCTCTGTGAAGGGTGGGCTAAGAACACAGCTGAGCATATTGGCATCTTGTGATCTATTTTCATAGAGTGTATCATATGCACATTTGGTATGAATAAATTTGGTGACTCAAAGCAGGCTATCTTGTGCATTAACGACTGTGTGCCAACCCCTGTCCCGCTTAGGTCGACCCAAGTATAGCCCTGGAGTTCCTTTGGGGAATCAGACTTCCCTTCAGTCAATTGTTCTTCATTATATGGATTACATTGAGTATAAATGTCAACCAGTCCTAGAGATATGTAAATCTGGGCAGAAACTGGAAAATTAAATTAAGCTGACTATTTGACGTTAGATAGGAAAAATACACAAGCAAAGGAGATGCTGTCAAGAATTAATCATTATTTTTCTTTAATTTGAGTTTAGCTGGCTTGTATGAATACAGAGATATACTCAGTACCCAAAGCAATTGTGGAGTTAGCAGATACAGGTGAATCACCTGTTAGTGCTAGCAAAGTTTCCCTCACATCGAAGGTAGCCCCTGTTTGGGATGTGTATACTGAACCAAAGGCTGTGTTGACTTATCAGTTGGCAAAAACATCCTGTCCACTTGGGATAAAATAATGAGCCAGGCAGACTGGTTGGTGGAACTGAAATGCGTCAGCACTACTTGATTCTGGGGCAGTCTACCTCAGCAGACCTCCTCCGGGACAGTGCTTTTCATGGAATGGCGGTAATGGTCTCGATAGAGTAGCCCAAGAAAGAGCACAGCAAAACTCATTATCAATTTTTATTTCCTACCATACACCAAATGTACAGCACTGAACACAATTTTGTTGCTTTGATGTAAGAAATATTAATTGTTTGAAGAAACAGTATACAAACAAGCTACTTCAAATTAAAAAAAAATGCATACATCATTGCCTTTTTGCTGTTTACAAAAGACCCAATTTACAGTATCTATCATTAACAGAGTTGAAAGGAAAAAAATCAGTGCACATTACAAAACACATCAAGTACAAAGGAGGCAAATAAATACAAACATACTTCACAAAACAGTCTGCTCAAACTATGCAAACACAAATAAATTAACCCGAAGTCATAGTAAATTATAGTAATAAATACATAGGTTGGTAAGAGATTTCTTTTAAATTAAATAAAATATATAACAAACTTGTTAAAATATTTAGCAAATTAAACTTTTGTCTTTGTAATAAGTGAACTTATTTGTATGCCTCTATCAAGTACTGTATAGCAAAATGTTTGCAAGTACATAACTTTAATAGAAAATTTTGTTTGGTGTCCCATTTATAATAGACAGCACATATGGTAGCTCTTTTTTTTTAAAGTGATTTTTAAATTAACACCGTTCCTACCTAAGAACAGACATCTCATTTTCACTAAACTAAGATTCAAGGGTTCAAATGAACCCCAAACCGAAGATAAGCCCCACTTAGTACATAACAATGACCACAGTGTCATGGAAGTGGAATTACTGTTGATATTACTTTTCATTTGTGCAGGTAACAGTAATAACAGTGGAATATATCAAGCCTGTGAGTGCCATCACATTCAATCTACATATCCATGAGGCTAATAAAAAATAAACACTTTTGTTATAGCACAGAAAATTAAGCCCACACTAAGTTCAAGTGTCCATTTACACGGAGGCACATTGCACACGAGGTGTGTGTGCACACCAAAAAGGCAGTTTAGCTGGTTGTCTATACCTTTTTCTTAAAAAAAATAAATATAAAAAAACTTTTGAAACAATGTTTAACTACTTTACAATCCCTGAAATAGACATTGCCTTTACTATAGCAACTACTAAACTCTGATCCATCCAGAAATCCAAGATTTGGGGCTCAATTTCATGCGTGTGTGAGTGTATGTGAGTGTGTCTCTCTGTGGGTGTGTGTCTGTGCGTGTGAGTGTGTATACTTTGTAGCACTTGTAGTTCTATGGAAAGATTTTTATCAAATTGAAAGTTCTCCTGTTGCCTAAGGAGGGTAAGACAATGTCACCAGTGTTTAAAGTATTTACTTGGATTGGAGTAATGTTTTTTTTTCATGTGTTACTATATTTCCCATTCCTTTCCAGTCCACCCAGTAAGATAAATGCTATTTCAGGGGATATGGTATCTACAAAATTTTCCATTTGGATGTGTTTGTATTTGCTAAGTACAAATCTACATCAATATTGTCACTTGTATATTGTACCAACATATGGCAGGAAAGCCTGGCTGGTCACATCAAGTCTTATTTCTCATCTTGGGATAAGAGTTGCCAACTATCTGATATGACTTGAAAAACAAACAGACAAATCTGCATCACTAAAAAAGCTTATGTTTCTTTAAAACATGTCAAATAAATAATTCATATTAACTAAAACCGTACAGCCAAGTCGAATACTTTGCTGATTGCTATATTTAATTATTGCTAACAAATTCTGAACAGGCTGTTTTCCAGTACACTGTGCTACTGTGAGTGCGCATTTCCCACTAGTGGGCGCCATTTATCTTCTTATTTCTTCCCGCACCTCACGGCAAGCTCATTTACAAATACAAAAACCAGTGAAAGGGAGGAAAAGAAATGTGCAATAAAAATCAAACCGGACCATAGTGCAGTCCTTAGACAAGGATTTCCTTCTTACTTTTTTTGTTTTCTCATTTAAACCCAGCAAGGTATGTGATTTGAGAATAGCATTTCTATTTAAATTCTATTGGAAAATAAATTAATAAACACACTTGTAAAAATATGGCAGACTTCAAAATGCAGTTAAAAGATAAAAAACTCTTTGATTAGAAATAAATAAAATATAAAAATGTCACATTTATTTTACATATACTTTACAAAAAAAAAAATCCAAAAGAGTGCAATGAAGAAATAAAATTAAAACATATGAAAATAAATAAGATCTGATATTTGACTGCATCGCTTTTAATCCAGAGTCTATCATAGTTTTTCTTTCCTTTTTATGTCAGCTGGGGGGGAAAATTAGTGCAATGTTGCAATTGTAAATGCAGTACGGCAACCTATGTGCCTTAGCAGCACAGGAGTCCCTTCCAGATCCGTCTGTGTTACTGCTGTTTGTAATTTCTGTTGCCTGGCAGCGCTGTGGTCCTACACATGGATGCCCTTCACTGCCTGTTTGATACTTTCCAGCAGAGCTTTGCATTCCGGGGAATAGTCCCGTTCCAGATTGCTGTACATGTCTGTGAGTGTATTTACATATGCTTCAAAATTCTGCTCACTGATAGGCCCCTAAATGAAGACAAAACACATGGAACCAATCAGAGTCACTCAGGCTGGGGCAAAAGGAGGACCTAGTAACACCAAGAGTATCAGTGACTCCAGGGTCTTAAAGGGAAGGGAAGAATCCATATGGCTGCTGGAGTTTAGGGAGATGGAGAGACACTGAGTATGTTGGGATTCAACTGTTCACTCTTGACTCCATTGACAGGCCCGCTGTGATTGTTAATATTTTGTGGTCAATTTGGAGCTGTGTCAGATAGATACCTGGCTACTGAGCGGGACCCCTCAGAGCTGCACTGCTTTGGGGAGGCTGCCTCAGCTTCAGTTGCACATGCCCAGCGCCACAGACCTCCTGTCTGCACAAGGGGAATGTCGGAGAGGCTATGGAGGAAGACTTTGCTTGAACCAGGTGGTTCCTTTGACAGCACTGGGCTGGAATTAAAGGCACTTAAGATCTGAGCAAGTTGCTCACTAACCAGGTGGACATTTTTTTCTTTTTTCATCCTCAGACACCTTTTTGGCTATATTTTCCCCTTGTGGCATCATTGTAATATATCCTTGCATTTTTCTATCTCTGCTCAGGTAGCACATCAGATTCACCAAGATCTGCTTATCTCTTATTCTTTTTGTGTGTTTTAGTAGCTTCTTTGTCTAATGTGGTGCTTCAGAGAGTGGTCACTTGATCCATGTAAATTGCACATGTGCCTGAAGGGAAGTGCAAGACACAAAGGGCATGCTACTAACCATTTCTGGGTTCCTCTATTTTCCCACCTTTTGGAAAACATGTGAATGTGCTTTACTTGCTTCATGAAATGCTTGGAAGAAAGGATTTTTCAAATGTCTAAATACTAGAGCAATAAAGGATGTTATCATTATTGCTGTTATTTAGAAGGTAGGCTTGCTAATTCTGAAGATTATCTTGCTGTGCTTAGCAAGATATTGATCTGAATTATGAGTATTGTCTAACCATGGTTTTCTGTTCCCTTTCAGTTTCTGCCCTTGCTGTGTCATGGGTTTCTTGGAGAGTTTGTAACTGGACCAGGACCCAGGCAGCAAAGTGGATAAAGTCCACACAGTAAAGCCTGGCTCATCTGGCTTTGGAGCCTGGATCAAATTACATGATCTCTGAACTTTGATATCCTCAACTACAGAATGGGAAGGCCAAAGCTGACTGTTGGGTGTCTGTGTGAATATTTAGTGTAATCAACCTTAAAAAATCACCACTAGGCTGCCTTGCATATAGCTCTATAAGGTACAGTTTCTCTTGTATGGTAATGACTATTTTTATGGCATTTGTGAAGGAAAACATAGTAATGAATACAAATTTCAAGTATGAATTAGACAAATGTTCATAAATAATATTACAATAATATCTAAAATGTACCTTAATACTAGCCATAAAGTAATAATTTATTTTCCTTTGTTATCGATTTTTTTAATTGTCAAGAGACACTTTTGGAATTGGGTAAGATGAGGGTTCCATGCTGCAAAATTGGGTAAACTGAGGGATTTATTGCTTTCAGGTAAACCAATCATATTTTTTCATGAAATTGCTGTTTCTTTATATATCTTTATATATAAATTCTATATATAAAATTTGCAGCTCTAAAGAACTTGCTCTAAGCATTAAGGAAATTAAAAGCATTCAACAATGCAGCCTCTCTTCCAAATGTTTGTAATATTTATGAAAATGTGACAGAAACTAATTATCTATGAATTTGAAATAGTTGCCAAAACTCAAGTATATGTTTAGATTTTGAAAATAAGGATGACTTGCTCACTTTTTATTTCATATGAGAACATGAATATGTTCTTCCTACTTAACGCCAAATTAAAAATATATATATATTTTTTTTATTATGGTTCTTGAGCAAGAGTGGATGGCACGAATGGCTGTAAGTCTTCTAAGTTCTCTATTTGGAAATAAACTTTTAGGAGGGAGCTTTGGCCTCCAACCTTTGTATTACATTATAAAGCAAGTTTTGAATAAACCCTCACCTTTAAATGATTCCTGCAATTTCAAAAACCTTTGGCTTTCATGTAATTTAATGTACGTGTCTGTCATGGTCCCTGTGAGGGAGGTGGCTGCCTGTCAGACGCGATAGAGCATGCGCACTACCTGTGTGGCTGCTGACGGGTGGCCCTCCTGGTGAGTGCGTAAGGGCGCTGCAACCGAGCAAGCCAAGGTCCTGCCTTGGACTTACCATCTGTGGAAGCTGAATGTCCGCAAGGCTTGAGATGAGAGCTTGACTCAGGCCCGCCAGCTCCTTCAGCAGACTCTCGTTGTTCTGCTCTATGAGCTTGTTCTCCTCCTCTATTGTCTTTAGGTTGCTCTCCATAGATGTGATCTGAAAAGGAAGTAACTTGGGAATGTGAGCAGCTGGATTTGGAGGAGGGCAAGAGGTTTCTCTCTGAAGGAAAGGCATCCGCTGAACCTGACTGCCAAGGAATGCGTACTACTCCACAACTTCTCATAAAACCACAACCCCTCATATTGCTTTAAGTTTTGGAATCACATTCCCAAGTTTACATCTTTAGCCCAGACTTCCTATGAGTTGCAAATTCCACATCTCCACATGGCTACGTGGTGACTATCTCAAGTTTAGTATGTTCAAGAGTGAGCCTTTTCTACTTCCCCCAAACCTGCTCCACACACAGTCCTCATTTTCCCAACTTGAACACTGCTCAGGCCTGAAAGCTCTCTTTTTCTCGTAGTCCTTCACAATATCCAAGATGGAGACTGTCCTCACCTGCACTGATGGCCCCTGGGTCCAGCCCCTGGAGTGACTGTGACTGCTTTCTCATGGGTGGCCCTATGCCTGGCTTTGCCCCATGCAATCTCTTCTTGGCCTGTCTTCAACACAGCTACCAATACAAGTCTCTTAAGATGTAAGTCTTAATATAGGTCAAATATGACTGGGTTAACCATTGGCTCAAAATAAAATATAAAAAAATATTTTCCATTTGGATAAATCTAGTCAGAGGATGGGGCAGATGTTACATAGAAGAATACAGAATTGAGAAATTGCTTGGATTTTTCAGTAAACAGTGTCTCCAGAAAAATCTCCAAAAAGACTGTTTCTAACAAATACACATTCAGAGATGTTCTAGAAAATTCAAATGTGAAAAGATCTGTTTATTTGAACTTTGAATAATACTAACTACTCTTACATCTTCTAATGACAGTTTTTCGAAAACACCATGTGCTCTGCAGGACTCTAGTTACAGGATGATTGGCTTTATTTGCTTCTAAAGCCTTTAAGACACCCAAGGCAAAAACATGAGTAGCTTTTCCTACAGATAATCAATGATGGCCCAGGGTGATCTACCTAGCCATGCAATGGTGTCATCGAGACATGGTCAATGTATTCATTGTAAGATATCAGTTTATTTTTTTATACAACTTTTAACAGTTTTATGTTTTGCCTCCGCTATTGATTGCAATCACTTTAAAGATAACTAATAGCTTTTCTGTTGTGTTATTGTTGTTTTTACCTGCGTCTGAAGTTTCATCATATCTGCTTCAATTTTAAGGTTGGATTCATTCAATTCCTTTATTTCTTCATCCAAATGCCTAATTTCTTCATCACTCTCTAAACCTACAAAAAGTCAGACTATCTGAGTTTAAACAGAAAATATGAGACAGTGACAATATGAGTCATTTTATGTTTAAATTTGTGCTTTGCTAAGTGAAAATTGGACTTTAATTTGAAATGTTGAATTTTTACCCAAATCTATATCCAAGATTCTAAAAAAGTGGGTTAAAGAGTTATTTTGTAAGAAAAAGGAGTAGAAAAGTAATACCATTTAATGTAGCACTGTTATGTTCCAGGTATGTTGCTACACATGTCTGCAGATAATTTCTGATTTAAACTTCACTGCACACTATGGGGCATGTTCCATTATACCTTTTTCACATATGAAGACACTGAGTCTAGAGGAGCTAAATGCAGCCACACTCATCACAACAGAGGCTGCATAACCTGCCTGTGTCCAGAGTAACAGCAGAGCTAGGAATGAATTCCATAGCCCATGCATCCTCTCGTACACAGTGTTGTAAGAACAGTTATGACATGAATTATGCTGATTAGTTGTATATTTATTACCTGTGTAGGACCTTATGAATCATCACTGGAGGCAGAGCTGGGGTGTAAGCAGGGGGCTTAGAGTCCAAGGACACAAAATTTGGGTTCCCTCTGTAGAGCTGGATAAGGAGCAATGCAATCTAGGAGAAGGAACATGGGCTTTGGAATTCGAATGCTGGCCCTGACTCTTGCTCTTGAACCTATACAACTTACTTAATTTCTTTGTGCCCCAGTTTCTTCTTCAATAAAATAAGCATAAAATCTATGTTGTAAGAATTAGTGCAATAAATTATAAAGTGCTGAATGTATAGTAGGTTCTCAATGAGTGGGAGTTATTTCTCATCACTATTTTATAGAAGGAATATGAATGCATTTTAAGTATTTTTTTTTAAGTTCAGAATGGAAGCTCATATTAAAAAGGACAGAAGCAGGACATGAGGTGAGTGAATCTGCACCAAAGAGATGATAACAATTAAGATGGATAAATGTAAACTTCTGCATTTAGATTTAATGAGATTGAATTCATGAGAGCAAGGATGAGAAAACTGACAACTTGTTTGAAAGAGTTCTAGACTCTTACACTGCTCTGGGGTTACTACTCTGGACAACAGTTCATTGTCCTCTGAAAGTAAACTTCACGTGCTCTATGACCCAGCAATTCCATCCCTAGGTACACACCTGAGACAAACGACTGCAGGTGCACAAGAGGAGGCATGCACTAGATGAACACAACACATTCACAAAAGCCCAGCCTGGAAACACACTGCATGCCCGCCAAAACAACATGAATGACTCTTACCAATAACATGTTAAGAAAACTGTGAGCTCTATTTACATAAAGCTTGATGAAGACGGGTGGCTGTTTTGTGGGTCCTTACTGCTTTATTATGTTACTAACCACCTAAATAAAAGTGGGCTATGCATGCACCAATGAAGAGAGTATGCCACGAGATTGATCTAATACGGGGCTCTGAGATTCAATAAAGAAGAAAAGCAAACCAACAACTAAGATCTGGATATTTTAGTACCTAGACCAATTTGAATATGAGTCAACAGTGTGACACAGCTCCTAAGAGAACAATAAACAATCACCCAGGACCACACTAATGGTTATATAACATCCAGGACACAGGATTTATTCTGAACTGGCTGACTGTATCCGGGGAATTTCACTGGTTTCTGAGCACCAAGTTTTACCAGTTGGTATCCAAGTACAGGATCTTTATTTCTCAGATGAGTAGGATTGAAATACTTGTTTTTGACAACACCAGGGAGCGTAGATGATCCATTAAACAGGTATTTTGAGTACTATTAGCACTTAAAATTTTTCTGGTTTGAGCAAATGAAAATTTCTATTGCTATATTTCTTTGCCAAATTGTTTTTCCTTTTTGTCTCTTTTCAATAAAATTCCACTTCAGAAAATGGCATTTTCTTACATAGTATCTGGTGAGGCAGACAATAAGCAAGGAAGCAACTGATAAAATATGAAGAACTATGAAGGAAACAAGCAGGGAGCTGGGGAAGCCTCTTTTAATTTGAGAGTTTACTGATACAGTAAAAAACAGGCACATGAAAAGCTTGGGATTGGGTTGGGATGAGCATCCCAGGGGAGGGACTAGAAAGCACAGAGGCCTGGGGTGGGAAGGGAATGGATATTCTGCTCCCTGGCCTATAAGAAGTCCCTCATGAGTGAAGAAACAGGTCATGGGAGACCTCGCAAAGAGCTTGGGTTTATTCCCTGTGCGATGGGAGCCAGTGAAGAATTTTAAGCAGGGGAGTTGATGTGATCTGGTTGGCTTTGTGAAAGCATAACTCAGATCTGAGTAGAGAATGGGGTGACAGGGAGAGAGAACAGAAACCAGAAGACCAGTTAGGAGATTATCACTGGGATCCTGGCTCATCTGATGGTTCTTTGCCCCATGGAAGTGGTAGTAAGTGTAATAGAAGTAGACTCAACATAATACTTGTAGGTGGGATTCGCAGATCTTGTGATGAATGGGAGGAAGGAGATAAGAGAACGGAGGAATCAAGGAAGACTATTTGTTTCTGCTTGAGCAGCTGGGCAACTAGTGGCATTCCAGGGATGAGGGAGCCTAGGGGAGCAGAAGCTTCCAGCAGGAAAATCAAGAGTTTAATTTTGGTTGTGAAGTCACAGATATTTGTGAGAAGACTCTGTGAGCCCAGATTCTTTGTACTGAGCTCTAGTTAGGATTACATTCCCCTGGCATCGAAGACACTCAAGACTCTTGACAAAGATGGGGCCACTTGAAAGATGCCTAAGAACAAAAGTCTATGGGGAAGGTATGATCATGAGATGAGACCTCAAAAAAGGAACATTGTGATGGGATCCAGCACATAATAGGCACTCCATAAATTCTCAGGCAATTAATGGATAAATGAACTAATGTTTTTGTTATGATTTCTGGAATTTGGGGGGATTTTTTTTTAATTTTGAGGGAAAGGTAGGTATTTTAGCCAGTCTCTTTGTAATTTTTTCCATGAATACATTACCTTATCTATTTCTATTGATTATTTATCTGTCAACCTCCTCTCCGTACACCGTCTTTAAGAGGCTCTGCCACTGAGTGGAACTGAGAGGATGCCACAGATTTTGAATTTCACACTGCACTTGCAAATATGAACTAATTTGATTCTTTAAGGATCCCAAGAGGTAGATATACTTCTTACCTCATATTATGGATGGGAAAACAAGGCATGAAGAGGTTAAATAGTAAGCAGTAGAGCTAGGATTCAAAACGCAAGCTCTCTGGTTCCAGAATATGTTCTCTTAACCATTTTAATGCTACCTTTACTCATGGATATTTAATCTGCTTTGAAATTTTCCGTTAAATATTTGCGCTGATGTTCCTTGATGGATATACACACAACAGAATAGAGAGTAGAAGTAGAGGGCTGGGTTAGACTAGCCATATATTGTTGACCATGGAAACCATATAAACTTTCCACTAAATATTTTAGTAGAACTATTCAGTGTTTCCTTATAGGGAAACCTGTTTAAAATCAAAAGAATATGCTTCCTTTACTTGGTGCAAATCTATGCCTAATATACATAATTAGGGATTACATAACTTATAATAATACTTTATATTCTGTATAAATGAATAAGGGATGTAAACACTTGTATATAGCAGATATGCTCAACTTATAAGGGGCTTTAAGTTATTAGATAAAGTTTTATCCAGAAAAGAATAATGTATCACAATATTTAAAGCATGGTAATTTGCCACATGGAAAGAACTAGAAGGATCTGCTAAATATAAGAACACATACATAGGTCAACCATTATAACTTTTATTTGTCTCACAAAGAACAGAAAGGCAAGGGTTTATTCATGTACAGATGTTCTAATTTTATTATCAAGGACCAGTAATGGTCTTTAAAAAATTAGCATGGCAATTTAATTATGGCAAGGAGGAGAACTAAAGATCAATTCTTCTAAAATAAACATAAATATTTTTGGTGTTGACGTTCCATGTTTTAATTGGTTTGTAGGTAAAATTCTCCTAACATGTTAGGTAATCCGACCAACTGCCTGAATGATTTGTATCTATTTTAATTTAATATAGAACAACAAGAAGTTTAAAGTCATATGCACTGTGTACGGTATTGCAATTTGATTTCTTTTTAGGATCTGGGGAATGTTGGGTTACGCCTGTTTTATAAGTCATCCAGGGAACCATGGCTGTGTCCAAGCTTTAAAGTAGGGGAGTATGGGGATGGCACATCATTAGAGAAGGGCTCAAATAACTTTAGGTCCTCCCTGACCCTCCACTGACCACTGACTTGAACTCAGGTGGATTTTTCTTCACACACAAGTTATTGTGGGTTCTCAGGCTTCAGAAAAGCATCAGCCCCTAGCTTTTTAGATTATGAAAATGTGTAAATTTTCCAGTTTCCTGGCCCATTTAGAATAAATGTACTTCAGACACTTGTCAATGTGTTCCAGGCCATCTTTCTGCTGCTTCACATCCTTTGAAAGTTCAGCTGAAGATGCTCAATTTAAAAAGCACCCTTCAGGGCACGTGCACCTGAATGTTTATAGCAGCAATGTCCACAATAGCCAAACTATGGAAAGAACCTAGATGTCCATTAACAGATGAATGGATAAAGAAGATGTGGTATAAATATACACAATGGAATACTATGCAGCCATCAAAACAAATGAAATCTTGCCATTTGTGACGACATGGATGGAACTAGAGGGTATTCTGCTTAGTGAAATAAGTCAGTCAGAGAAAGACAATTATCATATGATCTCCCTGATATGAGGGAGTTGAGAGGCAATGTGGGGGTTTTGGGGAGTAGGAAAGGAATAAATGAAACAAGATGGGATCAGGAGGGACACAAACCATAAGAGACTCTTAATCTCACAAAACAAACTGAGGGTCGCTGGGGGGAGGTGGGTAGGGAGAGGGTGGTTGGGTTATGGACATTGGGGAAGGTATGTGCTATAGTGAGTGCTGTGAAGTGTGTAAACCTGGCGATTCACAGACCTGCATCCCCGGGGCTAATACATTATATGTTAATCAAAAATTTAAAAATTAATAAAAAAAATAAAAAGCACCCTTCAAAGAAGGTATGTGCAGTCCATCTGCTCTGGGGTTACTATAACCATCTACTAGGGGGTTTGAACAGCCCAGTGGAACTGTGTGTACCCGCCCCACATCTCACTGGCACTCTGCAAAGCTTTACTATAATTTGTTGCAATGCCAACTGTTTTGTTCTTATCTTACTGTTTTGTTCTTATCTTTATTAGGAAGAGCCTGTGATTTCTATTATATTTACTGTTAAAGGTGTTGCTGGTGTTCTTATAATGAAGACTCATAGGAAATGTTTTCTTCATGTACTCACTTCCAGAGAAAGTTTTGCTTTGAATTTCTTGCTGACTGTGTGATTCTTACAGTGATTATACTCTCCTTTTGCTTTGGGGTTTAAAGAGCTGAAAGTAAAATCTGAGATCCCTTTTTAACCACTACAAAAAGGCTTGCTTCGCACATTCCTGTTATTATCCTCAGGCTTGTCCCACCTTGCTTTCTTATTTTTGATCTCCTTTTGTCTCATTTTTTTGAATTAACTTCTAACTAACTTTTTCTTAATGTAGCATTGCACTCCCCATCATTTAACTATTGCTTGAAAGAAGGTGACATATAAATTAAAAAAAATACATGTATACACACACACACACACACACACACACATATAAAATTGTGCCAGTTTTACAGAGAATGTGCTAAGAGGCAGTTGAGAAGTGGGGGATTTCCGAGGAACAATGAAAAATATCTGGAGAAAGCACTTTTACTGAGCATCTAGGTGTTGGAAAGAATGTCCAGCACAATCTCTAACCTCCAGTTCTTTTATTCCTCCTCCACAGGCAAACTGACCCCCTTCACCTCTTAGTGGTGGCTCCAAGAGGGAGAGCAGGTCCCCAAGAGGCCACTTCAGATAATGCATCTGACAGCATATGAAAACTTCAGAAGGGAAATTGTAGGAGGCTCAAAAGTGCTTCCCTCCCTCAGATACTGCATATCTTCTTTGTAAAAAATCATAGCAAATTTAAAAGATTGGGAAATGCTTAAAGAAGTAAGGTAAAAACAGTTACTCCAATCCAGTTATGTGCCAAAGATGTCATCAAATCAATCTCCAAAACAAAACAATGCTTTGCCATTGTTTCTAGATGCTTTAGAAAGATGATCTAAGGAAACAACACATGCTTGAGATGACATTGATGGGAACTCTTACGAAAAGCACTCAAGAATCAAAGGAAAATTGGAGGATCCAAAGACAGAGTTCAGAAACTGCATTACTAACTTTTATAAAGCATTGACACTAGGGAAGTATAGATATAAATTTAAATCATCCAGATTCATCATAAAAATATTTCGAGGATGCAACAAACCTTAAGGATTCAAAGACAGATGCCCAAAACTGTATTTCTTGAAATTTGATAGAAGGCTTACAACAGGAACACACACACACACACACACACACACACACACAGACACACACACACTCATGCAAAGGTGTGATTTTGAGGACTGAAGGACAAAAGTTCAGCTGGTGTGTCTTAGTCCTTCAAATGGTAATGCTTGATTTTCTGTGTTAGAGATACTTAATGAAAAAGGAAAAAAAAAAAAACCCAAGAAGTTGTTTTTTAGATGAAGTTATAGTTTTAGTTGAGATTCAAGGAAAACATCCTCCTTGTATATTAAAATTACATTTTCCATATAGAGATTAATTTGGCAGGAGAACAACTTTGGGGAGCTATGGCTGAGACCTTGGTGGGGATGGTAGCTTTCTAGCCCTGTGCTCTTACCACCAGTTGCTTTGAGCTTGATGGTCATTAGTTCTTCCGAGACCTTGCCCTTTTTGATGGCTTGTGCGTTTAGAGGACATCCGGATAAGCTGTGAGAATAGAAATAGTACCAGTGTGTGAAATACATATTACTCCTTTTTTTTTTTTTTTAACACATGTCAAGTACATCAAAAACTAATGACATACTGTATGGTGACTAACATAACATAATAAAAAAATAATAAAAAAAAACATGTTACTTCTTACAAAAATTAAAATTTTATATTCATCACTTACTAAGTCTTTGCCTACTAATTACATTATAATCTTCAGTCTCGTTGTAGAAATAACACCTAATATCTATGAACACAAAAGCAAAGGCCCTCAGATAATATAATTATGTTTTGTGTTTTTGCTCTTTAAATCAAAATTCAAATAACCATTACTGATATTATCATTTAATTAATTTTGTTAAAATGTTACTATTCTGCATTCATACAAGTGCCTTTTTTTAGGAATGGTTACTTTATTTTCTGTAAATGTAAAATAGTACATATATATTACAAATAAGAATTGTTCCAAATGAGTCAATATTCCATGAATAATTAAGCAGGATCTAGTTCTTCCTGTCTTTTATGTACTATAGTCTGGTCTTTACAGAATGACTCAAATTAAACCCAAAATAATAAAAATAAACTGGTATATCACATGCCGTTTGGACATGAGAACATTTCTACTTTATAATCTTAATTTTTTAAACATTACTTTTCATTAAAAAAAAAATGCCTATGCTGAAAGGAGAATGAAAGGAACCACTATAAATATATTAAAATGCAGTGCCTGCAGGCGGTGTATTGTCCTGCAGTGGGGTTTACATCTTTTCCTTAATTGCTGTATTCTTCAGCTGTGCTTCCTTTCTTTAATGTCATCTGTTTTATTTAAATTGCACCAAAATGATAATGAAACATTGAACAAAATTTGTTTGCTATAGTAGATGATCAAATGATTTTGTTGTTTTAAGTAACCATTCATTCTTTTGCAATTTTGTTGTATTTTTGGAGATGCAATTTTTAAATAATGTTAAAAATTGTCACAATCAGCCACTTAGAATATTTTTTTTCCTACAGATATTTGGTTGCAATTCATGTACAAAATAATCATTTTCAATTCAAGCATTACAACACTTGGCAAAGTGAAAAGAAATATTTCTAAAGCATGGGCCTTAATAAATGTTTGCTACATGAATGTGTGTTTTTTTTTTTTTTCAAGATTTATTTATTTATTTCAGTGGGGAGGGGGCAAAGGGAGAGGTAGAGAGAGTATCCCAACCTGACTCCCCTCTGAGCGTGGAGCCAGATTTGGGGCCTGATCTCATGACCCTGAGGATCATGACCTGACCTGAACCAAGAGTCGTTCCCTTAACCAACTGTGTCACCCAAGCACTCTATGAATGTATTTTAAAGTACATTCAAAGTTATTCTATATGAAGATTATATGAAATCCAAAAATAATACATATGTAATATTACATAGAAAAAGAAGGATATGTGGTTTGCCAAAACTTGATAAATTATGAAATATTTAACACAGGAGGAGAAAATAATGAAAAAACACAAACAGAACGATAAACCAGATTTTCCTATTTTGTAAGATTCTCACCATACAATGTGGCCTATATAAGCTTCATTATATTTTTTCTTTTTCTGAAAAGTTTCTATAAGTCTGTCTTACTTTATGTCCTATATAGTGTTCTCAGAAAATGGTCATGAACAGGATTAATATTTAGTTGGTAAGGTGGATTTTAAAAGTGACCTGTAGTGGGGTGCCTAGCTGACTCAGTGGGTTAAGTATCCAATTTTTTATTTCAGTTCAGGTCATGATCTCAGGGCTGTGGGATCAAGCCCTGCATGGGCTCTACGCTCAGTGGGGAGCTTGCTCGGGATTCTCTCTCTCCCTCTCTGACTCCCCACCTCCCCACCCCTCCCTCTTCCCTCAAACTCACTTTCTCTCAAATAAAGCAAAAAAATCTTTTAAAGGAAAGTGACCTGTAGTAAGTCCATTTGTCGTGTAATGGTAATGGCTACTAATAGCTCAGGAGAACATCCCTGACTCTGTCCTCTAAACAATCAGCTTTGTTCCAACAACAAGACAATAAATGTTCAGTTGTAACACAGTGGTGAGGAGAGTTAATGAAGTGTCCACAGCTATGTGACTTAGAACCTAAGGGTATAGTTAAGTTATGAAAGTGAGGGTATGGTTTCACAATGTCACTTGATAGTTTGTATCTTCCAATGCAGTTACATCTTCCAGGGTATAAAACAAATCTTAAACTAAAAAAAAAAACTGGGATAAAAAAATGATAAAATGTCATTTTTCCTTTTGAGGATGACCACATCATCCATGGGGCTTCAAACTGTTGCTTAAGAAAAGATAGAGGTTGACTGGGGTGTCTCTGTCAAGATTTGGGCTCTGAATTGCAAAAGCAGGAAAAAATGTCTTTTATGGTTTTGACCAATTTGCAATTTAATCACATATCATGGCAATTTTAAACCATATCTTCATCTGCCTTGTTAAAGTGATATTTCTGATGATACAATTTACATGGACATCACAGTTTACATTAAAAAAACTAAAAAAACCCTAAAAAATGACAGTTATGGCACAGGACTAAATGAGGTCTAATTGTCATAAATGTTCTGGTCTGAAGTTACAAACATCCATATTGTGTATGTGTGTGTGTTTGTATGTGTGAATGTGTGTGTCTGTGTGTCTTTATATAAAAACATTTGTTTTCCCAGACTGCCAGTTTTTCAAAATAGAAGTATGCCATGCAAGACTTAAAGCACGGTTTTAAAATAATTAGTTTGTAAATATGCTGATGTAAATGCATGGATCAAATTGTTCTCAACCATCCTATAAGGTGAGTTTTGTAATTATTCCTGTTTTGGTGCATGTTAGAGTGAGAAAAATTATGAAATTCACCTTAGAGAGAATGGCTGGGGAAAGGCTGTGAGGCTGGCACACAGAAAGATCCCCTGAACGCCAAGGATGGAGATGATACTGTGCTCACGACAGGGGCTCTGCTGTACTAACGCTGTGTGCAAGGGCAATCCCGAACTTCCCTGTGCTTGTCCTCTTCTGTCAATGGAGGATAATTGTACTACCTCTGTAGCTCACAGGGTTTTGTAAAGGATTAAAGGAATAAACCACCTAAGGTACTTAGAACAGTGCTCTCTACTGGAACAGAGCGTGCCCTGAATAGATGTTCGCCATTGTCAGGGATGGGAAAGAGTACCGAACAACCTCGGGGATTTGAGGGGCAAAATACGGACTATATAAAAGTGTCTCATAGGTTAAATCATGCTATTTCAGCATAAGTCATTCCTACTTTAATGAATTATTAATGAATTATTGGATATATACACATATGTTAAAATAATTTTTATGAAAAGGAAAGGAAATTGTCTGGGTCAGACACCGTTATGTGCCAGGCTATAAGCTAGGAACTTTATTACATTATTTCACTACATTCTATATATAGTAAAGAGTAGCATTCCACCTTAAAGAGAATACCCCAAAGTGAATTCAGTCTCTTAAATCTTCCAAGTAGCAAGAGAACTCTCTAGTGAAGAACAGTGAAGTCTGAATTATTCACTTGTTTTCACACATAATTATTTCCTTTCTCCTAGAGAATAATATCTTGGCATTAATGTTGAAGCCTAATTTTGAAATCATACTTTTCTTTCTCTTACTATGAAATAGGTAATATGTACCTAAATACATAGTGTGTATTTGCAGTTTAAAGAATACTCTCAGAGTAAATACCTTTTACCTTCAAACATGAAGATGTTTGAAGCTCCCCATGACTTCAACAATTGCCTCTCCTGCCCCCAGACATAACCATTGCCTTGAATTGTAGGTTGATGATACCCTAGCTTTTTAAATGCAATATTGTTACTTGTTTTTTACTTTTTGGAAACAGAAGCATGCCCTACATATTCTTCAACAATTATTTTTCTGCTCAGCAAGCATTGTGTTCTATAATCCACTTAGAACACATCTTCATTGTCACCACCATGTGGCAGCACCCCCCCCCCCCACTGGACACATCCTGAATTTGTGGGTACGTGGGTTGTTCCCAGTTTGGACTTTACAGAGCAATGCTACCACAGACATTCTCAGACATGTCTCTGGGGTCCATTATACATGAGACTCCCTGAGGCATCAGCCTAAGAGCTCAGTATCTGGGTTACAAGGTATGTCCATCTGCCCTTTTTCAGCTGGACTCCTTAAAGACACTTTGCTTCCTGAAATGGCTCTACCAATTACTCTTCCACTGCTAGTGGGAGCCCCTGTTGCTCCCTATCCTCACCAAGCCTTAGTGTCATCATTAAAACTTCATGATTTTTAAAGATAATCCTGTTGTTGCTGACTGAGGGATGTGCCCGTCATAGTACAGCATTAACACTTCATTATCAGTGTTAACATGGATATTACTGAGTCCACAGTAAGAAAGTCAAGCTACTGTGCAGTTAATATGCCATTAGGCACACTTGATTTGTGACTGTCGCTCCCAAATATGAAATGAGGATTCAAACTCAGAATAAAGCAATGTGGACTATTGTGAACATGGCCATGCATTTGAAAATTAAAAAAATAAACCACTTAAAAAATGTAGGTTTTCTCGATAAGCAGATATGGCTGTATATCTACTTAAAACAGCAATTCCTGGAAGGGTTAATTTTCTGATACCATTGATATGTACCTTTAAAACCAAATAAAATATAGAATGCCCCTGCTTTTCTCAGTTTGCATACTGCTCGCAAGCAAATCAAAGCTCACACTAAAGCTTCACTGGGTTTTTAAATCCACATCACACGCAGGGACCAGTAGACTAGAAGGATCCTCCTTGATTGGAGAAGTGTGTACTGAATCTGCTAGTGCCTTTTCTTTAGGTAGAATGTGAACCAAAAAGCTGGACTAAGATCAGTGTTCCTGACAAAGGGCTCCATTGAAATCCACGACACTCAGTGACAAAGGAATTAAGTCATTGTGAAACTATAAAGGGTTTTCTAAATCTCTCTCATCCTGTCGTATACTTAGTAGTCACTGTGCCATTCTCTTTCTGGCTGCTGGGGATGAGTCACATCTCCCCCGCAGCAAAATAACTACAATTTGGCCTGAAATTGAACCAGTTCACAAGAGGGAGGGACATAAATATGTAAAGAGAAAGTTTACAATTACACTACATAATAGAGTAAATATCAGCACTTGAAATTGAAGTGAACCATTAAAAGACTAAACCATTAAAAAATAGCAGCATAAGCAAATTTGAGAACACAAAAAACAAGTGCAGTTTCTATAGCACTTAACTGTGTAGTAAGTTTTCAGAAACAGAGGATATAACATTTTTCATTCTTCAAAGGAGTCAAGCACCTCTCTGGCAAGACTCGCTGCACCATCTAAAGTGCTATGATTAATGAACTCAAGGAGGGATTCTTCCCTCAACCCAAAGCCATTGAGGTGAACACAACCACAACCACAACCACAACCACAACACAACAAAAGGCAGAAAACAAATGTTACCTTCTGTGGGTGACAAAAACATTATTTACATGGCCCAGCCCATTGCAGCCTGGCAAGGGACAGTGTGGTAGCTCTTGTTTGTTCAGTTTCCAGGAGAGGGGGCCCCCATTGAGAGGATTCTCCTTCTGTCTCTTGGCAGCCAGGGGACAGCCAGAAGCTGTGCGGTGGGACGTGTATTTACCTGATATGTGACCTTGGCCGTCACACCCTATCACAGGACATCTAGAGAGACACAGAAGAGTCATTACCAGCTGGGAGACACTAGATAACTCACACGAAGCGATGTAAGTAGGTGAATAAGAAGACAGTGGCAATTCCATATAGTACAGATGGCAAGTGGTAGAATTAAAGAGTTTTTAAAAATGCCATCACAACCAGCAAAACAGCACTGTATTACCAGAAATAGTGGTCCACAGGGCTGAGCTAAGCAAGGTTTATGCATTATCTCCCAAGATCCCCACTGCAAACCCACTGAACATAGTGTTACTGTCCCATTTTCCGGGTGGAGAAAATGAGGCTGATAGAGCTTAGTTAAGTTGCCACCCATTTTACAAGAAGTAGAGTCAGGTTCACACCCACACTTTTTAGCTCTAGAGTCAGCCACGTAAGCTCTGCCATGCTGCCTTCAACCAAAGACCATGGGTATAAAATGTTTACTGCTTTGCCCTACATTATGCAGCGCATTGCCCATAGCACTGGAATGGTGTTTTTTAAATGTCTCAATAATGCATTGAGAAATGTTGTAGAGGAAGAAATTTAAGATAAAATTTCATCTTAACCAAAATTAAAGCTTTTGGGGGAAATGTTGCCATATTTGTCATGCTTGTACTTCCACCATGCTTTTTTTCTTTAAAGCAACTGGAAAAAGTATAGACATAGTTTTTTGTTGTTGGTGGTTTTTTTGCTGTTGTTGTTGTTGTTTTTTGTTTTTTTGCATTATCAAAGAACTGTGTACACATAGCTAGGGATAAGATAATTTGCTCAAGCTTTTAAACACTCTGACGGCTGCTTCAAGGGTCCTTGCGTTTAATTGGGTGCCTCCACCCCTCAACCTTAATCAATGTTTAGTTGCCTCCCAACCAACATCCTGCCCATTTGACCAACAAACTACATCTGGCCACACCTCAACTGACAATCACACTCACTTGAGTTCAGGGTCTTCTTTTTCGTCCTTTGTAGGAGTCATTTTGACACTACCTTTCCTGGCACGAGGGCAGCCGGACAAACTAAATATGCAGACAACAAAGAACAAAACCAAACCAGGTGATCTCACTGGCCATTGCTGTCAACATTATGACTGCCCTCCTTCAGAAACAAAATTGATCTCACCTTCTGTGTGAAGCATAGTTTCCAGTCACGTGCCCTGAACCATCACAACCCGGGGTTGGACACCTAGAAAACGCAGAACAGAGAGCAAGAACTGCATGGTTGTAGTGGAGGCAGAGGGATCATGACACATTCAAATAGAACTAAACACAATGAGTTGCTTTGTGTGGGACTCTTTTTCCTTATACATAATGAATTTTTAGCTAAGAAAACATTTTCAAAGAAAATATTAAGATATGCATCTCCTGGGTGATGCTTAGCAGACAATGTATTAGCTTTTATCCTACCTTCTTTTTTTCTTCTTTTTAAACTTCATTTTGGAAGGAGCCTGAAATTTGGCCCACAACTTACTGCCAGGCTTCTGTCTACATCATGCAAAGTTTTTCTTTTTTGCTTAACAAAAAAGTTTTCCAAGTTGTTTCTGTGCATAATTTATTTTGTTTGATTTGATCCACTACTGCAATAATCCATTAAATTCAGATGAACAGGAGTGGTATATATGCGCTCCAGAGACTTGGCACATTAATATAATTGCCAAAGAACCTAAGTTGTTTGCACCTGGTCTGTTCTGCCTCATGGCCCAACTTAAATGGCCTTTTGGAAAATCTACCCATAGCTATTATCAACAATCAACTACTAAATTTGGAAAGAAAAGGGGAAAAGAGGAAGGGGAATCCAATTCCACTTGGAATGCTGAGTAGGAACAGCTTCAAAATACACTTGAAAGTAAAAACTGAATAACCAAACAAGAGGTCAATAAATGTCTTTTTTTTAATAGAAAAATACCTAAAGATGTTACTTATCAGATGGCTGCCTAGAACACGTAAATACTGAATATTGTTGTAGAACTCAGTCTACATGTTTTCAATATTTTTTTCTAGAAATAATGTTTAGAGAAACTATTTAAGAGAACCAACAGCTATTATTAAGGTACAGAAATGTACAAGTTTAGAACTAAGTAAGATTGAATAATAAATACTGAGTAAGTAAGATAAGTAAGTTCAATTGAGTATGAATGCCTGGCACTCCTCTTTTCAATCCGTCAGTCATGTCTCAACCTAACATTTTTACATTTCAGTCTAGAAAAATGGCAATCTATAGCATGATTTCCAGAATCTATACTGACACAATCAACTGTTCTTCACATATTGAATATGAGAAAATTGTATTTCATAGTTCCCTTTAGTATTTCTGGTACTAATATTCCCAAGTTTTAGATCTGCTTAACATCACAGTCACATCTTCTTTCATAAATTTGTTGTTTGTAATTTTAAACAAGAATTTTAAACAAGTTAGAAAAAGGGAATATTAACAAAATATTAAGAAAATAAAATACCTGAAATTTTACTTGTGATTTAGACACCAAATATTGTTTCTACTACTTATACAAATATTGCATTATCATTAGACTTAGTAAAACTCACTTTTCTTAAGATGTTATTATTACAAATGAGTTTCATTAATTTTGTTTAATGTTATTGGTTATCTTTTCTAAATGTATGCCCTATTATATTTTAAAGGGTGTAAGGTAGATTATAACTTCTTATTATTCTATATGTAATATAATAAGATGTGAAGAAAAAATAAATGAGAAATTTGGAATAAAAGAAGAGAAGAATAGGAAAAATAAAATCAGTAAGTAGAAGTTAATATATACACATGTGGTTTTGAGATCCTAGGTTGAAATGAGCCAAAATTATGTCTAGGTCCCAGAATTGAAAGACAGGCATATGATTCAAAATTCCTATAAGGTAAAATATTATGCAGTTTACTTAGGATTAGAGGATGAAAGTGCTTTGCCACACTTTCATAAGTCTGATTTAGTGTATAAATTCTGAAATCAGCAGAAAAAAGTATTATGTTTAACTATTCTATTGTTACTGTAAAAAATACTATAAAAGAAAAAAGATCCGCAAAGCAAGCAAATGAACTAAATAAAATTACGATGAGTTGTTTTTAATCATTTGGACTTTGTGGTGAAAGAATGCATTGGTTATAATTGATGCAGTCATGACTTAACTACTTGTTAGTGAAAACCCACACCAGGCTTGAATGAGGGGAGTCCTAACACAGTGATGAAGAACTAGGAGGTCATGATTCCGATACTTACTTAAGCTCCTGAGAGTTAGCAGCCATGAGGGATTTAAGAGTCTTATCTGCTAAAGGACATCCAGAAACACTAAAAAGGGATGAAAAAAACAAAAACAAAACAGACAACCTTGACATATACGTATCTGACTCAAATGGCATCTTGAGTTTGTGAACATACGCAAAATTTAATGGTGACCAGGGATTGGGAAAAATATAACTAGGTTTGAATCTGGCTTGGCTACTCTAACCAGTCTGGGCTTATGGACACCTCAATTATTTCTCATAGACTCAGGTTTGCTATTTTATCAAATGAAGGGCTTTAACCCAATGAGACTCCCCAACTCTAGAATTCTGTAATGCAATAATTACTGATTCGGAGTTCACTTCCATTGCACACTAAGGGGTGGTAGCTTAAAGGTCTAAACCGGTGCCCAAAGGGAAGGCAAATAACATCAATGAAGAAGGTAAGTGGAAAGATTAAATGTAGCTTTTTTTGCACTGTTTGTGACCTGGTATTTGCCCAAGGCTGAGTCTGCCACATTTCACAAGGTGAATGGTCAACCCAAGTCACTCTACTATCTCACCTTGGTTTCACTTGGGTCCTAAAACTAGACAGAGCCAAAGTCCTGACATAAACTCTAGCTTTTGGTTTATAATCTACACAATAAAATCAGAAAACTATCTTCAACCAAAAAACATGATTTCTATACCATATAAATAAAAAGCCAAAAGATTTAACTTAGCTTTACTTCTGGGGAAAAAAAAAACAAAAAAACAAAACAAAACAAAACAAAAACAAACAAAAAAACCCCAAACCCCAACTAAATCACTCTTCAATTCTGGATCCAGGTAATATCTTCCTAGAATGGGTGAGAATAAGTATTCACATTAGAATAAGATGTTGTAGGTTGTAAGGTACCTGCGATGGGAAGCATAGTTTCCTGTGACATGGCCACTTCCATCACATCCTGGTGTCGGACAGCTGAGTCAATAAAAAAATACAGTCTTAAAGTCAAGTGCTTTTCACAGATTCATTTGCTCTGTCTATAGATTATGAGGTAGGTTCTCTTTCCAAGATCAGTTAGCACCATGCAGGACACACAGGAGCTAGTGAACTAAGGATTTATGTTATCTAGGAACCAGAAGACTAGCTAGAAGAATACTGGCATGATCTGAAGGTATTAGTTTTCAACATCACATTAATTCTCTGACTCAAATCACATAGAAAAGCGATGCCGAAATAAATGCCCTAGTGATGTAGTGAATCAACAACCAAAGATGTTTTTATTTCTTTGAAAGTATAAATGTTATAAATTCACGTTTTATAAAGAGAGTGGCTCTTAGGAATACTGGCACCAATTATATAACAGATTTCAGAAAAGAATTTCTATGAGTCCGAGGTTTTCTTGTCTTTGTTTTTTTTTTTTTTTTTTTTTTTTTAAGTAGACTCCATGCCTGGTGCGGAGCCCAAAACCCAGCATGGAGCCCAATGTGGGGCTTGAACTCACGATCCTGAGATCAAGAGCTGGGCTGAGACCAAGAGTGGGCTGCTTAACCAACTGAGCCACTCAGGTGCCCCAAGGATTTTTTCAGTTCTTAAGGTCATCATAGCAACTTCATATACATTATAGAAACTGCCTGAAAAAGAATATCTTTGAAGATACTACATATACTGGAAGGTAAATTGACATTTTAGATGGAAAAGGGGCTGACAATAAAGAAACAGGTAAGAAGTTTAGTTATTGAACCTTGGGATCAGTTTTATCCAAAGCTTGAAACCATCACAGATAATTGCTAATTAACCACCAAAGCAGTTGGCTCTCCCAGCCATCTACTAAAGATCAGAGTCTGTATTGGTGTACTTCATTGTATCTCAGAAGCTGGTCACATTCTGTGTATCTTATGTGTGTTTTAAAAATAATGTAAGAGGATTTGCTTTAGTAGTTAATAGATTCGTTGGTTTCTCAGTCATTTATTTTCCTCTGATGCTGCTTGAAAGTCACTCATTTGGAGTAAGCAGATTGACCCCAGCCCACTCAGTGCTATTTGTGGCAGTGTTAATCAGAGGAAAAATCAGTTACGTCATTCAGGCTTCTGGTTTTCTCTGACATGCTGCCTAAAGTGAACGCTTATCCATATGTGTAGAATACAAAGTTTACCCCTTTGAAGGGACATTTAGGGAGAGATTGCCAACATTCAAGATTTTCTGAAATGTCACATTCTTAGTTTTTTGTGTTTTGTTTTTTGTTTTCCCTATGAGCTACTTTCTAGTCATCTTCAGGTAACTTAAAGAAACTATAAGAGTTAGAACATTTCCATCTCTCAGAGAGATGTTTGATTTTTTTTTTAAAGATTTTATTTATTTATTTGACAGAGATCACAAGTAGGCAGAGAGGCAGGCAGAGAGAGAGAGAGAGGGAATCAGGCTCCCCGCTGAGCAGAGAGCCCAATGCGGGGCTCAATCCCAGGACCCTGAGATCATGACCTGAGCTGAAGGCAGAGGCTTTAACCCACTGAGCCACCCAGGTGCCCCGAGATGTTTGATTTTAAGGGCTCAGTCCAAGCTGAATTGTCTAACTCTTATCCTACCACATTCCCTAGATGGGATATCAGAAAGGAAAACGTGGAAGCTATACATACATGTAAACAAGTAAAGAAAAAAAAAAAAAGAAAAATTATTAACATTTGAACTCAGTTATCTCACAAGTGCCATTCACCCACTAAATGGAGAAATAATCTTTTCTGAACACGGTACAACTGGAATATTCAAAGTGTGAGAGATATGTTGTAATTGTCAGGGGATCCCCACTTTAGAAATACATGGCCATCTAGTGTGCAAGAACAGCACTGCATTTTTTTTTTAATTTTATTTCTATTTTTAAATTACTTCTGTTAATACTGCCATGAGAGGCAAAAATTGCCAATGAGTTTTAACCAGTCAGCTATAAATTAATTAGGGAGTAAGATAATAAAGTACGCATTTGATCTGCTGCTAATTTTTTTTTTTTAAGTTTGGTGGTATAAAAAGGTCTAGGAGTAGCAAAAGGACTGGAGATGGCATTGTTGTGTGAAAAGCTTTTGTTTCAGATTCTGATAGCTGGCTTAAATTACAAATTGTCAGTGAAAAATCTTATCTAATAACATGTGCCCATACCAGTTGAGTGAAACATTCTGGGCAAGTTTTCAAGTGAAAGTATTAACACTTAGAGGGGTGCCTGGGTGGCTTTGTAGGTTAAGCATCTGCCTTCAAGCTTAGGTGATGATCTCAGGGTCCTGGGATCTCAGGGTCCTGGGATTAAGACTTGCGGCAGCTCCCTGCTCAGGGGGAAGTCTGCTTCCCCCTCTCCGATTCCCCTTCTGCTCATGCTCTCTCTCTCAAATAAAATTAAAAATCTTAAAAAAAAAAAAAAAAGAAAGTATTAACACTTAGAGAAAGGAAACGAGCTAGTTCCTTCAGTAAGTGGCCCTCAAACTCTAAGAAAATTTATTTTAATAATTGACATTAAAAAATCCCATTTTGTAATCGATTAAAGTACATTTATCTGTTAGAAATATAAGGCAAAGCATAATTTTTGAAAAAGGATGAAACTATAGTAAGACTTTTACAAAACCAGTGTATAGCACAGGTCCACAAAGATCAGAATATCTACTGATATGTTCATCTGTCTGGGGATCAAAATGAGAAGAGAATCATGAGGTCTCTATAATTTGCTAATAATTCATGATTAGATTTTACTTCAAAAACTGTTCACAATGTTTTTGGAACCCTTCCTCTTTTCTATTTGCTTTCTCCCAGTGAGAAGTGCACATTACCAAATAATCTCACTTCATTTTTCTGTTTAAATTGGTAATGCAGGTTAATTATCAATCTTTTACACTACATTTAGTTTGGAATGACTCTCACAATTTTCAAAAATCTACCTTCAAAGGATGAAAATTTGCCATTTTTCAAGATATTCAAAGTAATATGAAGAAACAAAATCCATATAAAGATTTAAAAACTTGAATGATAGCTCCACAAGGGAATAAGTATGTGGTTGACTCCAAGTCACCTGCGGGAAGGAAAATGTTCAGTGACACTGAAGCTCTAGTGTGTTTGGTACTACATCACCACATTGCTCCAGCCACCAAGCTCTAAGTGAACATTAAACTCATAATAAGAAAAGATGATATTTGAGCCAGTAATGTTTGCCTGCGAAATCCAGAAAGAATGCAGTCTAAGATCATTTAAAAATCAGTCACATATTAACACAATATAACAGTGTTGCACTAGGAATAATTTCATTGAATACTTCCTATGTGTAAGGCCTGTAACAGCATTTGAGATGTATCTCCTGCTCCCAACTCACTGTTTGTGGAGTTGGGGAGGGAAGAGGTACTGCAGTAAATATTACGTAGCAATGATGTGGATGTAGGAGAGAACAAAAGCAGTCAAAGAAGAATACCCTCGCCCTCTGGGGTCCTCTGCTGTAGTTGGGGAGGCAGACAAGAGAGAACGCAGGTGAGCAAAATGTATGAGTTCATTAGAAGGTGATAAATACTGAAGGACAACAGGAGTTCCAGATAAAGGGAGTAGGAACATCAGGGCTGGGGGTGGGTGGCCATAGTGCCAGAAAGACCCCTCAGGTAAGTGACATTTGAGGTATGAGCTGAGGGAGGGTGAGGACCTATGGCACCCTGCAAACATCTGTGGCACAGGGAATAGCAACAATGAGGCCCTGAACCTTATGGAAAAGCAGGAGAAGAGGTGGCTGGTAGAGAGGGAGGGGCAGGGTCCTGTGGGGAGGGGAGAGCTCATTCCCCATGGGCCATTGGAAATGGGTCCGGAGATAATGCAAGCCTGAAAGTCCTCAGAGTGGAGATAGTTCTAACATGAAGAACCTAGAGGACTGAGTGTAGACAGAAGAGAGAAGGGGTTCTGGGACTGAACTGTGAGACATTCCATCTTTGGAAGTCTTCACAGGAGTCTAAGCAGGAGTAACAGGTAAGGTGGGAAACTGTTCCAAGGTGTGGTACCCTAGAAGCCAGGTGAAGAAGATAGAGGAGGAAATGATCAGCTCTGTCAAATCCTGCAGCCACATCAAGCAGTTCAGGAGGAATAAGAAACCACATACAGATGGGTTCCCTGCAGGACTTCAGGATGGTTTTGATGGAATGATGAGAACACAAGCCTATCTGGGAGAAATTTAGGAGAGAAACAGAGTCAAACTTTCTTGAGGAAGTTAGCCATGAAAGGAAGAAGAGACAGGGGATCAAGGTGAAAGCCAAGTCAAGAGACGGTTTTTAACTTTTTTATTAGAAAAATTGAAACATATTTTCATACTGATTCAGAAGAAAATGATTCAGAATCAGAAGAGATTCAGAAGAGATCATACAGATGTTGGTGACTAAGTGGAAAGATTACTTTTTGCTAGAAACTCTCATTAATTGGCAGCTTTGAATATATTTGTGTATGAATACACTTTAATATTTCACCATTTACACACAAAAATTATTTTCCTGCATGTCACTCACTCCCTCACTCCCTCATGTGATATATAACCCAGCCAGGACTATACTGCCTGCTAAGGATGTAAGTGTAAAAAAAACAACAGACCCTGCCTTGTGTTTGCTTGAAACACTTCCCACCTCTTCTCCTCATTTACCATCATCTATTCTGGGATCTCTACTCCCGGGCCCAGTAAAGTAGAGAAAAAACTTAGGAGTGCCTGCCGTCCAGACAATGCCCAGGCCAAGTTATATCCGCAAGGAATTTGTGTGAATCACACTCTAAATCCTAATGACCCACAATCACAGTTCTTCAAGGTTAAAAAAAAGGGGGGGGGCGTGGGAGCTGGGCTCAGCATACAATCTATGTTCCTATCCCTGCAATAATTTGGTGGCAACACCTGTGCTCTCCCAGCACACACATTTCTCTGAATTTCCCCATCTCATGCCCCCTTCCCTGCCTCCATTACTTTGTAAGAACCATTTCCCAAAGATTTATCCATATTTTCTTAACTTCTTTGAACTTACAGGGCAAATCAATAATACTAAATGCCCAGTTTGGGAATTGTTTTAGCTTTTTGTTCCCATGGCAATCATTTCCCTTAGTCGTCCTCTTGTGTTTGTAAAGGGTCTCATTTCTGTGTTCTTTGTGGCTTCCTTCCTGCCCTCTCAGGGGCCAGCAGCGTGTGTGTCCTCAAGGCTTCAAGAATACTCTATCCCTTTCTTTCTTTCTTTCTTTTTTTTTTTTTAAAGAGCCTTTCACTACTTGACTTACTAAATCCCTTCAAGTGAGCCCAACCTGTTCACTTTCTACTTAATTCTTTTTTTTTTAAATTTTTTATTTCTTTTCAGCGTAACAGTATTCATTGTTTTTGCACCACACCCAGTGCTCCATGTAATCCGTGCCCTCCCTAATACCCACCACCTGGTTCCCCCAACCTCCCCCCCACCGCCCCTTCAAAACCCTCAGGTTGTTTTTCAGTGTCCAGTCTCTCATGGTTCACTTCCCCTTCCAATTTCCCTCAACGCCCTTCTCCTCTCCATCTCCCCTTGTCCTCCACTCTATCCCTTTCTTTCTATACTTTCTCTAGCCTCGTGATCTCATGTCTGAATCTCTATATCAGGGTTTTATTTTATTTCTTTTCACATCAGTGTTTTAGATGACCTTCCAGCTTCAGAATAATTTTGCATACCATTCTTCCTAAAGCACTACACCACTAATTCACTTCCCCATTTAAACTCTCGTGGCTTGCTCATGCAAACCTGCAGCCCAGCACTCTTCACAGCGCCCCGTCCTGCTTAAGTCCATGGCTGGTCCTCAGAGCTCAGCTCAGGGCTCAGAGCTCAGATCTCTGAAGGCTTGTTCCTGCTCCCTGCTGCCGTCTTAATTAATACTTACTGACATCAGGTGCCCTAGTCTTTAAACTCTCTGAGTCACAGAATCCTTTGAGAAGGTGATGAAAACCATAAACTCCCTTACCCAAATAATCATTTGCATTAAGTGTTATGAGGTTCATAGATGCCCTGAAACACTGACTTGGATCTTCTGGGGTCAGTAGGTGTCAGATTATGACCTTCTGATCAAAACGTAAACATTTCTTCAACTCATACACCTGACCCAGAAGCAACATTCTCTATCCCTACATCCTGTTCATTTTCTTCAAAAGGCACTTTCTGGAAGGGCAGAGTTTACTTCAAATCTGACATATGCCTACAACATAGCAGGCATGCAAAAAATAGTTACTGAATAAATTAACAATTGTTCCACTGCCACAGAAGGAATAGCTAGACCCAACTAGTCCTAAAAAGGTGTGACTCCTCAAGAATGGATTCTGGATCCTTCACTCCATCATCACAACTGACTTTATAATATCATTGAACTCATCAATGTGAGAAATGTTAAATGATTTTTAACAGAATCACAAAATTAAATGGAAAAATTCCACTCCAAAAAGAAAAAGCTGGCCTCTGCTTTCAAGGAGAATCTATGAGGCTGTGAGAGAGGTTAGACCTATGGGTAGTAGTTTTTTGTATCATCCATATGCTAATGATACTATAATTATGTTAAGGAAAGAAACATTAACTTGCTGACACACTTTAGGGACTTTATATTTATTGCAGAATCAAAAAGAAAAGGGCTGCCACCTGTACCTCAAACACGTGTCCTATTTTAAAAATGTCAATGTAATAATTATTTAAATCCTAATTAAATGTGATTAATTTCTCAAAAAATTTTCAGTAGAGACATGAATTAATGTACTTCCCCATTAAAAAAATGTTTATGCCTTTAGTGAGCAAAATGCAGTAATTCTGCTTAGGATTCTACATCTTAGGGGTCTCATGCCACAAGCTATAATAATTATCATACAACAAAAACACACTATCCACTTGGCATTTTGTATATTCTTACAGGTTGTTTCCCAAGATTTTCACAGTTTCATGAGATGATTGTTGATAGCCCCGCTTTAAGAAACTGGAGGTTCAATGAGTTCAAATGAGTTTAAAAACTGTCTAAGGCCATGAGACTAGTAAATGGTACTACGGAGATGTGGAGTTCAGCCTGACTCAAGTGGCCCAGAGCGCAACGAAAGGTTCTGATCAGCCAAACAAATAAACAAAACAAAACAAAACACATAAACATTTCAAATTGTTTTACGCTGTTTTTGTTTTTTCAATCATCTCAGCATGAAATCATGTCATGTATACATCTTTTCCATAATCCTCTTAGCTCTAAGCATAAATAAGTATGTGTTGAACATTTAACTATTGACTGGCTAAATTACCCTAAAACATTCCTAAAGTCAACTATATAACCCAGGATATTATTACTCAAAATTTTGAGCCTGAGTCCTCTAATTCTAGAATCTCACAGAACACACCACTGAAGATTGCTTACGTGATTAGTTCTTTTTTGAGATCTCTTGCATGGAGCTTGGGTTTAGGGCTTGGAACGGAGGCCTCTCCAGGAAACTTTTTTTCCTCTAAATTTTCTAGAGAGCTCACTGGGTCTTTCTGGAAGAAAAAAAATACAGAAGAACACAAGGCATTAGGGCACCCTGGATAGACAACTGTATTTAAAGTCATCAGGGTGGAATTTGAGTTTTAACTTAACAACTTAGCTGCAATTCTTCATAGGATTTGTACACAAAATGAATAAGGTAATGAGTATAAGGATATATCCTGATTATTATGGACCTCTGTCCTTGATGAAGAATAAAAAATTACAGTTCATGGGGGATACCTTGACAAGTTCACGTTTTGGCAAATACAACTACAGAGGCATTTCTTGAGCTATATAACTAATATGTTTCAGATTTTATTGTATAATGAATGTTTCCTAGATAAAATGGGAATAGTTCTTTATTCACAGAACAATTATTGGTAAAACTAAAGAAATTTTGCAAAAATAAACCACAAATTTTAAACAAAAAAGAATGTCAATTTAGGTTAACAAAATATCCTTCTTAATATACAAATAATTAAGATTTAAATTGTTTGTTAAATATGTAATAAGTTGCCCACAATATTTAGCCATTGAATTTTTTCAGATAATTGCTTTTATTATCACATTGCTTCCTATTTTTCTTAAGTTACCTCTTTTGCTAAGTTGATATCTTATAATGCTTTAGTCATTGGATGGAATGTTTTGCTGGATTATCACTAATTTTTGTGGTCTTCTTTTAAGCTTAATACTGATCTTGATTTTTGTAAGGAATATTTAGTAACACTTTCAAAAAACTTATTTACCATCTGATATCTTACAGAAGACTGATGATGGTTTTCCTCAGTTATATAATTAGCTTACTTACATCTTAAACTTATATCCAGTAACTATATAATACTTCCTGCATTTAATATTAAAATCAAATTAACTAACAGAGAATTTCTGATTCTCAAAAGTACTGATCTCTTTAAAATGAGAAAACTATTTTGAATTATTCAAGGTAAGTCTCATTTAAATTAAATGGATATAAAAATGTGATGGCAAAATACAATTTTAATAATCCTGAGTCTGCACTCAAAATCAATGGAAAAGCAAAATATCTGGGTTTTCCTCATCAAGGAAAAATTCTGCACCTTGATCTCAGTCATAAAGGCAAGTGTAATTTTTTTCACTAATTACTTGGGTAGCAATTCAGTCCTTTTCCACAAAACCATTCAGTGGTAAATACATTGGTAAACTATCTCAAGTGACTCTTGAGGCCAAATTAATAAAGCCTGGTTTGGTACAATTTCTTTCTTCATAATTATTTATATTCTAAGTTTTTTTTTTTTTAAAAATTGGTGTATGTTTGAAAATATTAGGAGATAATAGTATACCACTTGAAAATAAGGAGACATGCATGGGTGCTTGATTATAGTGACCCTTTAAGGTACAAAGGGGAGTGCCACTTTGATGCTACTTCCACGGAATCTATAGCAAAATGGATGGTCCTTCTCCTTTTCAAGTTTTATAGTATAAATACCTAACATGAAGCAATTCCTAATTAGAAGACCTTAAACCTGATAATGCCACTATCTATTCCATTTGGTGTTATCTGGATTTCACCCAAGTAGTGTTTTCCACTACAATTTATAAATGTCTTAGCTTTTTCAAAGTAGATACAAATGCTAAATCCAATATTGTCTCAGTGTGGAACAGCCTTTGTTTTTCTGTTTAGGATGCTGATTTTTTTTTTTTTAAATAGCATACAGTGAAAAAGAGCCTTTTATAATTATCTTTATGATAAAATTAAGAACAAAGTATTCTTAAAGACATGTACATTTATGGATGAGCATATGAAGTTTATCAGCTATCATTTGACTGCTAAATCTATACATAATGGAAGATAAGGGAATAAGGAATGTTGAAAGATCAATAATTACAAAAATTTAAGTTATTGTTGTAACTAAAACGTATATAAAAATAATGCTTACAAAATATATGGTATTTAATTTGGTATAGTAACATGTGGTAATGTTTTAAAAGAATAATTTCACTGGATATGAGCTTTTAAATATTTTGTGGGTTCTTATAAAAACTATGGACTCATATTCATGCAATTACATTATGAAATAATTATCTTTTTCCCTTTTCTTTGCTGAGCATCCTACCCCAAGAAACCTGCAGAGAGCATATGTACTAAAATACAGGTGACCATCACTGGAAGAATTCTTATTTTGTTACACTATCACTGTACATTAGATAAATTTTTAAATAACACCCAGTAAAAAGTAAGCCAATGTCATTTGGAAGAATTTTTTCAAATTTAAAAATATAATTTAAAAAATAATAATTTTATCTTGTGGCTATGTAAGAGAGAATTTGGCATATATACGTTGTGTTTGGAAAGTATACAGATGCAATGAAATTCTTTTAATGTACAGATGGAAGTTTATATTGATTTCAGTAAAGACCAGAACATAATGGTAACATGAATAACAGATAATAGCATCTGGCACTTTTAACATTTTAAGCCCTGAAATCTTTGGAGAACTGACAGTTGAATGGAACTGACAGCCCTAGTTATTTCTCAGCACTTTCCTTTCGAGATTTTTTGAGCTTTTTCCAGATTCAGGATTTTTTTTTTTTTTTTTAGAGGGCATCTGGACAGGCTATTTCACTGAGAGAGACAGACAATATTTTCTGAAAATTACCACCAAAATTAAGCAACTGTTGTGCATATGAACTAGATAACAATGAATTAGAAATAATCGCTCCATTTCTGGTTGTATGTGTGTGTGTGTGTGTGTGTGTGTGTGTGTGTATGTGTATGAGTATCGTGTGGGGTAAGGGTGGAGGTGCCAGTGGGAAGGACAGAGTGTCAGATCAGGAGCTGACTACTACCCAGTCTTCAAATATTCACGGTATATTGCTTGGGCCGAGTGCAGCATCCAAGTGGGCTCATTGGAAAAAACAGGCACGGGCCACTTCCTGTGATTAGTTTGTGTGGTTATGTCCTTTAGATCACGGTCAAGGGAGGTTTGGTTCTGCTTCCCTGGGAGCATTGTTGGGTCCCCCACACCTCGCCAAACACCATTTCTTCTTCCTTCTCTTCTTCCCTTCTCTTTCTAATTGTCCTCAATATTCCCTTGTTGTTGCCACTTTTTGATGGGCTGTTTGATCTTTTCCTTCTCTCCATTCTCTCCCTTCTCCTCGTTCTTCATTTGGGCTTCCGCCCAAGCCCATTTCTTGATTTCTATAGGACCAAAGACTAACAACCTCCTTGAGCCTCAATTTTCTCCTCCAAAACTTTGACAATAATCCCGCTTTTCATGACTGTTAGGATAATGAGACACCATGTGTAAAGATCCCTTATCTTTAGTCTTACTGAACTCAGTGTCCCTCTGCTACCTTCACAACAAGGACGTTGAATACAATCTATTTTTTTCAAAATAGTAACTATCAAGTATCACAGTTCTCATTTATAAGAGTCAGAACAGGGTGATAAATACTGTCTATTTATAGATTAGCTCACCACAGACAAAGGCACAAAGAAGGAAGGGTGAGGCGCTATCTTAGGGAGTTACAGTGCTGCAGAAGCACTTTTTGTGTGAGGGTGTCCCCATAAGGTAGAGTTTCCCCAAGCAATGAGTCATTCATGGTCAGATCACCGTGATAACAAAAATTAAGCTTAAAAAATATTTGGTCAGGATGCCTGAATGGCTCAGTTGTTTAATCGTGGGACTCTTGATCTAGGTTCAGGTTGTGATCTCAAGGTACTGAGATTAAGCCCTGCGCGGGGCTCTATGCTGGGAGTGGAGCCTGCTTAAAATTCTCTCTTTCCCTTTCCCTCTGCCCCTCCCCCAAAGCTGGAACAGGCATACTCTCTCTAAAAACAAACAAAAACAAAACAACAACAACAAAACAATTTGTCATCTCAAACCTAGGGCAAGCACCTTGACTCTAGGAACTCACTTAGCATCTTCAAAGTCCTCTTTTGTCATTCTTAGTGACATCGAATCTCCACATTCTCCATTCCAGATTTCAGAATGCTTAGGTTGCAAACTGTAGCAGGAAAAGTCTGTACTGTCAGACCTGAAGTAAGTAAGCCATTCTGAAAAGAGCAGAAATCTAATCTAACCAAATCCATTTTTCCCAGGAATTTGCCGGGAAATAAAACACTGTCACGGATATATAAGCATTAGAATAAGAACATACTCCAGTTGAATTTATGAAGCTGCTAAGATGAATCCAGATGTTTTTTGGAATTATGCAAAAAAAAAATGAGATTGGAAATAAAGAAGCTATTTGTTATGGGACGTCATTTTCTGGCTATCTGAGTGGTAAGAGGTATAGCTAAGGAGGTTCTTGAGGTACTTACTAGACCTCCAAATGGGAGGAGGGTCTCAGAATATGAGTACATTTTTGTCATTCTTGTGAGGCCAAAAATTATAACCAAGATAAAACAATATAAGAGACCTTAAATGAAAACAAGAACCCACTTAACACATATTTGCTTCATTACCACTCAGGACTGAATCAGTATGCCTGACATTGGAAAGAAGATTTCTGGTGATTTTTGACCATGGTCCATTTATGGCAGTCATAGGGTGGGGACAGAAAGTCTAAGTCTAAGCACATGACACTGAGATCTCCCAAACAAGGTGGGTTTTATCCTAGTGGGATTCATCTGAGAATAGGAGCACAGTTATGCTTACTTTGTAAATACAGTCCTTCATGTGACATGAGACTTTTACTGAACCCACAACAACAGATTTTCTAACTAGGATTAGGTTTCCTTTTGGTGGTGTAGAGTGGGATATGCTGGGATATGCCATGATCCCATCGACTATTGGACTAGCTGAGGATGAAGCAGTTTTATGAATGAGAGGGTATTCCCTTTCTCTAAACCTGGCTTCTACAGAGTGGGATTGGATCAACAATCTTGATCTCATCGTGATTGTGCTTCTCAACAACTTACACTGCTTCCTTACCTCCATTTCAGACCAGTTTTGCAAAATGATCAGTTCATGTGAATACTGACAGATTTCCAGATCATAAAAATAAACAGCAGTTAAGCATAACTTCTGTTACTTTTGCACAAGTCCAAAATGGCAGGGGGGAATGGGGTGGAGGGAAGAAGTACGTGTTCGCCCATCTGTGGTCATCATCTAAGGTAAACCAGCTACTAATACTTTGCAGGTATTAGTTTTATAATAATCAGAGTCAAACATATATTTTTTTAAGAAATTGTTCTTCTAAAATAGCATTATGATAGGTTAACGAAGACCATCCCTAAATACTTGAAGCAGATTTTGTAAAGCCAAGCAGAATAAAATGAGTAAGACTGTATGGCAGAATCTAGTCAGAAAGTGCTGTTGTATGGATTCCCCTCCCACTTCTTTGTGATGGTGTGGTGGTGGTAACACAGAGCCTGCCTCAGATCCTGGGGATCCTCCAGGAACCCATCCCTGACCACTGTACATAGGGTTGGCATTCCTCTCCCTGTCCCGTCATTGTGTGCCTGCTAGTGCTATTCCATTTGTCACTGTATTTGTTCACCTGCCAGTGTCCCCACCAGACTGAGCATACTTGTGTGGGAAGTTTGTCCCATTTGATGCTGCAACCTTGGGACCTATGTTACTGCCTGGACATGGAGATGGCAGCAAAAGTGTTCTGAAGGAAGCAAGGAAGGAGGGAGGGAGTGAAGGAAGGAAGGAGGAAAGGAAAGGAAAAGGGAAGGGAGAGAGGGAGGGAAAGAAAGGATAAAGGAAGGAGAGAAAGAAGGAAGAAGGGAGCAAAGAAGGAAAGAAAGAAGGAAGGAAAGGAGAGAGGAAGGGAGGAAGGAAAATAGAAAGGAAAAGGAAGGAAGGAAGGAAGGAAGGAAGGAAGGGGAATTGGAGAAACAACCCAATCTTGTGATCACTATTGTTTCTGTCAACTTATGCTCTGAAATGTTAAAGCATATGCTAAAATCAAATTAGTTTCCCCCCGCCCAAAATTTCTGAACTTCAAAAAGATGAAAAAAGTGGTGCAGCTTTCCAAAGACAGTGGCTGTTTTATTTCTTTAAACATATCAACCAGCAAATATCAACAACTTTCCTGACAAACAGCAAAGCAAAATGAATCACTACTGTCACAATTAGGGTCACATTTGCAAAGACATAGAATCTAAATAGTGGAGGTTTCTGGCCATGAATCCTTTTGGATGACACTAAGTCATGGCTAATCAGTCTAGGCCAGGTAGCTCAAACTATGGAGATAAAGGCTTGATGAACGTGCACAGCCACAACATCTAGCTATTCCAAAGATAACCAAATACACAAATGCATCTCCTTGACTTTGGGATTGATACAACTTAGACGTGACTCAAATACCTCAGCCAATGGCTCTATATGTAGATATGCTTACATAGTTCCTTCACGAAACCAAGGAAAACAATTTGATGTGATTCTTACTCATCCCTGATTCTATTTCATTTTCTATCCTCTGGTTCAGAAAGAGTTAGCAAGTTGGCATTTCAGTGTTGAGGGATACGTTGCACCTTCCAGGCTGCCATATCTGAAGGGGTGGCTAATATATCTCTCATGCAATGCACACAACTGCAGCCCTAATGGGGATCAAATTCACTACAGTGACATCATTTTAGGCAAGTGACAGGAAAAGCTGGATTCATTTATCAGTTTCTGATGAAATTGAAGATCACCACTTTACCAAAATCTAAAACATGGTACAGAATTGTGTATTATCTAAACAGGAATATGAAAAATAATGCAGGAGGAAAAAGCCGAGAATACTCTCTAATCATGCTCTCTCTTAAACTTAGTGATTGACATATTGAAACAATACCTCTTTCTCCTCCTCTGTCTTCCCATGAGTTTTGCTATAGTTGATAGGAGTATCCCAGCCCTCTTGATCACAGAAAGCCTGATAGAATGCTGCATTGACCAAAATGCTGCTTGTTTTGAATGGGGAAGAGGAAGGAGTTGGAATAGAAGTGTTAGAGGAAGTTAAGGGTGCAGCTTTGTCCAGGATTCGATTTTTTTTCAGGCTTAAGTCCAATGTGCCATTTTCATCCACTTCTATCTCGGCTCCCTGGTATACAATAGGAAACAGAAAAACATTTAAACAGTTTGCAGTTATAGCCTAGCCATGTGGGGCTTTTAAGGGATAATTTTAAATGCAAGCTTTTATGTAAGTATATCTGATTTAAAATCTAGCTTTCTGATTTGCTTTGGTTAATGTTCAATTCTTAGGCAGACTTTTAAGAGCAGCACCATTAGTGAGCTTCATGTTTCTGGGTTTAAACAAAGTAGAGCCTAATATAAATAAGATGTTTCAAATGCTAAATGTATTGACTAACCCTGTTTTATATATTTTTTTTGAAGTTTAGCTTTAAATCTCCTTTTCTGGCTTGCAGAATTATCACTCTCAATTCATCATTTATAGCATTAACACTTGAGTTTATAAAAAGGCACAGCACTACTTCCCAGTTCACCCCCCCAATACAGTATTAATCTAATGTGAATATATGCAAAAATAACCAGCTGCAAGAGAATTTGTTATTGGGATATTAGGGTAATACGGATATGACCTTTTCCTCTGGGTTACTTGAATCAGAAAAGCTTTGTTTACTTGAAGGGGGGCTGGTGTAGCAGAGGTAGACAGGGCAAACTGTTGTTGATTCTGGGGGCCTTCAGGAGCAGGTGCCAACAGGCCTATTTGGGGGTAAGTTGTACAGTGAAACTTCAGAACAAAGTTGATTCTTTTCCAGACACTTTGTATGATACTTAAAACTCACTATACCTCACGGCATTTCTCCTTGGGATAGCTTTGGCTGTCTTTTGTTGCTGTTGTTGCTGTTGTAGTAGTTTATAGTACAAAACCCAACAACTGCCCGGTGCTCTGGATTTTCCAAAGGACCCACACCAAAGGATGGCTCCTGTGCTGTCACCAACGGTGAGCACTGCCACGCAATAGGACTCAGAACACGGGAAGATCTTGCTTGTCTTTTTCTTAAATGGGTCAGATAAATACCTCTCCGTATTTTCGCTGTCATCCATCAAGTCACAATTAAATCTTGGACAACGTCTCTGCTCTTTTTCCTTTTGGCTGGCAAAGCAGGAGTCTCTTTGAATACGTTAGCAAGATCCCTAACGCATATGGTAGCCAGTTACTTCCCCATGGGGGATTTATTTTAACTCCCCATTTACACTCTGCCTTCCCTCTCCCCAACAGTTGCTGCTGAGGGCTGAGGTGTGGGCCAATATAGTTGAGCTCCAAAAGCTCACTGCTTGCACCTGATTTAGAAAACAAGGCACCTCTTCTGTTCGCTTGTTTCACCTGCAAAGTTCCTATTTTAAATCTCAGCCTCTGAGGTAGGTATGCTTTATTATATTTGTGGGAGGTAAATATACTTCTAATATGTTTGCACTAAGATGCTTTGGCTATATCTTTCTGTCCCTTTTAGTAAATAGTTTAATCTCCTGTGATAGTCTTAAGCCCTGAATTTGACAGTACAGCTTATCCGGGATAATAACTTAGTAACCACAACATCTTATGCCATCTGTATAATATCAAATACGTTTTTATACCAACATTAATAAACCTTAGTTACAAAAATCCAAGATATTAACCATATCAGTGCCGTGCACTCTCTCCGTGGTATAACAATGTATTCTGTCGTGTGCACATCAAAATAATTTTTGGCTTCATAGCTGATATGTAACTATAGCAATGAAACAGAGCTATAGTAATCAAATTTAATGGCCAATGTAAAGTAAAATGCTAAATATTGTAGTTGCTGACATTTTTCATTAAAAAAAATAAAAAACTTGGGTTAAGACTGCACAACCAACATTCACATAAAATTCCAGACCTCTGTGACAGATGGCTTAGGAAAAAGAAGCCATGTGACTGGGCTGCAGAGTTTTATAGTGCAAAACCCATAAATAGTGCAGATTTGATCTCCCTGAAAAAAATATCAACGATTCCAAGACAACACTAATATATATTTTAGTTCTTGCCGAAAAGAATTCCAAATAGTAAACAAAAAAATTAGAGATTCTCGGAGTTGTTATGATTCTACATCTTGAGTAATCACGAGCTGATTGGGGGGAAAAATCACTCCTAATGTTTAAAAGAGGCGCTCTTGTATATTCCGCGCCCCAGCCGGCTGCTCTGAGCACCTGACTTGACAGGGAGAAAGCACATTTGGGCAGCAGGGTACAGATGGGCTTTAAGTGAGCGCACAGATGCATTCAACAATTACACACGGTACCAGAGGAAGGGTCCCTTTCTGCCCATAGATGGGTGGATCACACGTTTACTGCATGGATTTTTTATTCAGATGTCAATAGACATCACTTCTCTCTGTGCTTGAAACTCTAAATGGCAGCACACAAAGGAGGGGGTGGTGGGAGAGGCCATAGGAGCAGGAGGGCATAATATTCAGCTGACATGGAGCCCCACTGCTGACTTCTAGCATTCTGATTTCTAAAAGCACCATTTGCCATTCTGGATCCTTATTTTAATCATTTAAACTTAAAGGGCTTTTGTGAGGGTAGACATAAGTCCAATACTATTTACGTACTTGCCAAGCTAGGGCCAACATCAAGGACCATCACTTTCAGCCACTTTTGAGGTACCGATGCCATATATGATGTATTTATTAATTAAATTATTGAGAAGGCACTTACTGTCTTCAAGCCTCCATATTTTGGGGAAAAGAAAATTGAAAAATATATTGTTCCTATCTTCAAGGAGCTTATCTCATACATAGAGGAGATTGTTAGTGAAAGATAATTTAATAAATAGAAATTATTATTCAACTGAAAGTTGAAATAATTATTTCTTATATAATCCTTATGTGTATCATAAATTGAGAAGTGATTCAGAGGTCTACCAACAGAGAAATGATTAATGAAATTATGCTGCATTTATTTAATGACACATTATGCGATTAGTAAAATGATAATTATGAGGATTATATTACAACAAGGAAAAGACATCTATTATGGAAAGCAGGAAACAACCTGGGCATTCCTGTTTTGCCTACAACCAGGGGGAAAGGGTAGAAATTTGTTCCCTGAAGAACAAAAGGGAAAACACGGAAATTACTGTACTTGTATTTAAAAGATAGTCTTAAGGCCGGTCTCCAATATTTTCCAGGCAAATGACAGCATAATAATGTTTTAACAATTAAAAAATTAAACATTCAAAGATGGTAATGAAATAAAAAGTTAACTTTGCCTCAAGGTTCTACTGTGAAAATTGTTAACTTTCAAAACATAGATATAAGAAGACACCACTGTTTGCTGTATTTGTCAAGTTCTCTATTAACACAAGAGGGGATGACCGCCATCTTTTCCATTTTGACTTGGCTATCAGGAAGTACAAAAATTAAGTATCCCTCAGCTTAGGTTTCTGCTGTAATTAGCTTCTGGTTTTCATCCTCTGAGTCATGTTTTTTCTTTTGCTTCAGAGTGTTTCATTTGGGGAGTATCTTTTCTGCACTGAAAGCTATCTGAAATATGTTTTTAAAAAAATAAGCAGGGTATTAACAATAAAAAATGAAATTGAAGTATCTTATTCTTACCAAATAGTAATTGAGTACTAAAACAGTTAAGTTCAGAGTATAAACTTGTGAAACTTATGCAATATAAATAGAATGATGGAATTCAGGGAAGAAATCAGTGTCTGACGTAAGGTATGAAATTAAAATTAAATTTATAACCATTTTCCAAAAATCTTTGTCTAAGACTTGGAACCAAAGCAGTGAAAATTCTTAAGTTGGCTAGCAGTCTATATAAGACACGAAGATAAGATCTTTAAGAACATAAGAAGTTGGACAGGTATGAATTAAAACTTCAGTTCCAACAGTTACAGTTATGCCAGTCAGAGAAAATTATTTAATATCTCCGTACTACTATTTCTTCACCTGCTAAATGGGATGATATCTTCTTTACAGAGTTTCTGGAAGAATTAAAAAGAATTAATATAAACAAGGTGCTTCTTTACAGTGCCTGGCTCTTTGTAGGTATTCAATAAGTGACAACTTATAATAAAAATAATTTGATTGGGTTTTCAAATGCTTAAAGAGACATCCCTATGCTACTGTATGCAGAGGTAAAGAGAGAATTACTAAATATATACACACATATCAGTTGGTTCCTTGTGATCTCTAACCCAAGTCTCTAATAATATTTCATTCAAAATATACGGTATAATCTGACATGATATTAAAGTTACTGAAAAAAGCTGCTTTTGGATTCTAACCATCCCAAGAGCCATCAGGCTATTTCTGATATCCGGCAGCAAGGATGGCGAAGTGTTATCATGTTGTTTCTAGGCTTTATTCAAGCACAAAACAGACTTTGAACTTTAGACATTTCAAGCAAGTGTCAGTTTTTTGTTTTCTTTTAAGGCACACTGTGCATATGCCACTTTGTCTAAACAGGTGGGGAAAACACCAAAACAAACAACAGAATGCTTGGCAAGCAGAAGTGATCAGGATAAAGATAGACCATGTGCGTGATCCTACCTCTGTTGCTGAGGGTAGGAGGAAGGAAGGAAACGGGGAGTGTCTGTGACACTGGCATGTGCTCTCAGGGGCCGGAGGACAGCCTTCAGCACACCCAGCAAACCCAGGATGCTCATTCTATGTCTGCCACCTGTTTCTACTGAATGCTGTGTTCATAACAGCAGCAACGGTGGCCAGACGGAAGCAGGGAGGGTTTGAAGCTGTGGCCCATGAACGTTTTACAAACTCATATTAATTCCAAATTAAAATGAAGGACATTATACCAATCTTAGAACCAATAAAAGTACTAGTTTCAAGAGAGGGCTCATACTTCAAATTACCCTAAACCATTATATTGATATTGATATTGATATATATTGATATTGATAAACCTAATATTGATATTACTAATTTTTTCTTCTGATTTGATTCCTCAGAGATACTTAAAGCAACATACAAATGATTTTGGTGGCATAGATGTATTGTGTACATGTTGGATTGTATTTTTTTTTAAAGATTTTATTCATTTATTTGACAGATAGAGATCACAAGTAGGCAGAGAGGCAGGCAGAGAGAGGAGGAAGCAGGATCTCTGCTGAGCAGAGAGCCCGATGCGGGGCTTGATCCCAGGACCCTGGGATCATGACCTGAGCCGAAGGCAGAGGCTTTAACCCACTGAGCCACCCAGAAGCCCTGTTGGATTGTATTTTAACAAACAAATAATTCTTTTTCACATCCACTTTGAGGATATGATGGACTCATTTGGGCAGTGGTGGGCGATAGTAGCACTGACTTTCTCAGTTCAGTGTTGGGAAAGGGTCCATGAGCAAAGTGCTTTAGTGCTGAGTAGACGGTCAGGTGGGGCTAGGAAACTTCGGAAAGAGAAGAACACTGTGGAATATCCTTATTGTCCCACATTGTTTTTAGACTGTGTGGGAACTCAAAGTTGTTTTGTCTCTCTGAAGACAGCCCCTGCTCCCATTATTCTCCATAAGTATAGGGATTTTATAAATCATGAATTTAGATTTCTCACTAAACTTGGACTCAGTTGCAGGTAGCACAAGAAGTACCTGGATTAGCCCCAACAGGTGGATATGGAGGCAATTTAAAGGTTAGTGTCCTTTGGCTTGATTTTAAAAACGTTGTGCCCACATGTGACAGCCTGATCTATAATTTGTTCTCCTACTGGGCTCTGTAAGAAATGTCAGAGAAACGCATTCCGTCAAAGAAAGGACTGCACGGAGGCAGAAGGAAAAGGAGAAATCTGCCCTCTGTTCTCTGGGTTCTGATCAAAACCACCCCTGCCTCCCCTGGACATTAGAAACATTACCTATGAAAACACAGTTCTTTACCTGGAACAACCATTTCTTTTTTTCTGCTTCAGCCAAAAACTCCTTGAAGGGACGGGTCTGTGGCAGGATCTAACATGTGTCTTGGGAAGTCCAAATCTCATAGACCATTTGGTGAGTAGAGCTAAGAGTCCATCTGCCAGAATATCTCTCTATACATCAAAAAATGCTTCTACACTCAGCTGTAGAAGTCAATAGGGAAAATTCATACATCTCTATATTCTTCTTTCTAAATAAGGAGCTCAAGAGATCTATGGATTTTGGCTAGTGGAAGTAAACATACTAATCACCATGGAGGAAAAAATCAAATCATAGTGGGTAGAGAATCAGGCTAGTATTCAACAGGGGAAGATCATTTAAATATAGTTAATCCTATATTAAGTGAAGGGCACAAAGGAAATGCAACACTGAATAGAAATGGCCTACATTGGGCACTGTTTATTCAGAGGCCATTTTTCAGGGTTAATTACTTTGGCTTTTTCTCATTTTTGCTACAATAATTATTTTTTGTGGTTTTAGCAATTTATGAGGTTCTCCTTTATATTCAGAATATAAGATCCAGCTAGAACAGAATTCTGTAGATTGTTACAGTTGTGTGAGAATATGCGCCTGGAAGGAGAATTCTGCACAAAACGACACTGTAGGGTGCCATATTTATCCTCTTTTAACCACCACTATGTTAAATGAGATCATTTTGGTAGGAACATGGCTTTTTAAACTGCTAATGTAGCAAACTCCTTCTAAAAGTCTATTGGTACGCTCTGTGTCTCTTCCATCCTCCTCCTCATGTCCACGATTTGGCTTTTGCGGTTCAGACTTGGGTTGGCTGTTTGGAGGCCCAGACCCACAGGGCAGGCAGTTCCTGTCACCCTAGGCGGGAGTATCCGCTCCATAGAGCAACTCCGGCACACAGCATGCTCCCAATAGGAGTGTGAGAATAGATGCACAAGTCAATTACTTGAATTTTTAGAATGTGCCAACTTAACATCACGTTTCTGACCAGAAGGTATTCAAGAAAAGAACAAATCATATACTGATAAGGGAAAATACTCTCAATCTTTGGTCATCTTTGTTTGATTCATTGTTTCGCTCCAGCAACTGCTAGAACATGAAAAATGTGAAGGTTAAGGGCAGAATTCCGAAAAACAAACAAACAAATCTTCCTGTGCAGATAGAAAGCACTCATTCCACAATAATTTAAGTAGTGCTAATCATTATAATAGCGGTCTTTTTATTCTCAAAGGACAGCCTTAACAAACAAATCATATAAAGCGTAAGAAGGAAGATACTTAGTGTTACCCCAACTAGCTGCCTATTAGAATGTGCCTTTAAAAAGGAGGAATGTATTCAGGTTTTAACAAAATGAATAAAAATAAACTAAAGTAGCATTGCAAAGCACCCTAAATCATTCATTGATGTAAATAATGTCTGACCTGAATTCCTTTGAATTTGGAAAGGTGGGTATTTTCTTTATAATTTTCAGAGGATGCGTTTTTCTTTGTTTAAGAACCTCATGTGTTTAAAAATTGTTTTTGAGTGGTTTTTGGCCACCAACTCTTCCTGGGGCTTACTTGGCTCAGATTTGTCCAGAAGCTAATTCTGATTCTTCTGTCAAATGCTCTATGGCACCACATTCCCTGCTCTCCTGAAGGCCTGGCACAGCACAGGTGAGCAGCTGACCACACAAGGGATGGGGCCGCGCTTGCAGGGAAAAAGAGAGCTATCTCCTCTAAATTGCCTGAGTTTCAGGGTTAGGGTTTAACGCAGGAGATCTCCCACTTAAAGCAAGGGGAAAATCTCTTCTCCAGATAAGCCTGGGCACTTTATTTCAGTGGACTTCAGCCATCTAGGTAGGAAAATGATTTCTTTTCACTGAGTCTTTTGTGTCGATGGGAGTTACAGGCTCTGGGCGAATGCGGTTGCAGCTTCTACCCTCCCTCTGAGGATCTGAGGATTGCTGCTACTCCGTAGCCTAATAAGCCTCTCCTCCTCCAAAGGGGACACATGGAGGATCTTTGTTTTTTGTCGTCATCAAGGTATCAAAAACACGGTTGTCTCCCTCTCATTGTTAGTCAGGGAGGAGAGGTTTATTAGAGAAATGTGATTAATTTCATCGGCCTCATAAACTTTACAGAATTTGATTCTGGATTTGAAAGCCCTGAGTTCTCAAAAGTACCCCTGAACCATCTCTTGTTAACTTAGCGTATACCCGTTTTATTCAGTGTCCTTTGAGGAGACGGCAGCAACTGAGAGTACCTTGCGTCATAAAATCGTAATGTGTGCAATAAGAAAATCTCATGAGTCCATTTTGCAACTGTTTGACAAGCCACCGTGTGGTCAAACATTTCCTACCATCTTTGACTTGCAGACAGCAAAAAGCTTCCATTGTTCGGTTTGATTTTAACGGCAAGCGTCTTTCTTGTGTGCCAAAGTCCCCAACACAAAGGTAGGTTTGATAGCTATAAACCTCCCCAGCCAGGCTCCATCACTCACTTCTCCCCAGGCTTTGGTATACCGCCTTCAAGAACAACACTCCTTCACTCCTTCTGGAAGCCACAAAACTCATCCTTGTCAATGCTCCTCTGAGTCTCTTCCTAAGACGAGGAAGGGATGTGCTTTAGGGATGGGGAGCGGCATGGTAGTGAATGTGGTTAGGAACATGAAAGGCAGTTTATTCTCACGGTTCAGTCACTGGCCCACCCTCCGGGCTCTTGGACTGGCCTACCTTGGCATGCAGACTCTGTGGTTTGTTGGAGAGGATGTCTGCAGCTTCCCTGCAGCGGGTGGAAAGGTTCAGGATGGCAGCAGCTGCTGCTATGTGGGTGTCTTCACTACATTGACCGTAGCTATAAGAGCTGGCACGGCAAGGGCTCTGTGTGTGGGCGCCTGCACTAGGCAGTCGATTAGGAAATTTCCCTGGATTTGAAAAATGCTTTGCTGTTGAAGAGAGATTTGATTAGCAATTGCATGTATGTGTTTTAGTCATTAAATAGATTTGCTTTAGAGATATAACTTCTTACATTAAAATACGTTAAGAATAAATTTAAACATGATCCATTATCCATTGGTACACTCAGTGAAGGTTATTGAGATTGGTTTTCACAGAAGTTCACAGATCGAATGAGGTGATGGCTGGGGAAGAATGTCTATTCTCTTAATATTTTTCGTATTTATGCTTCTTATGGTAAAAATTTTATAACTAATGTTATGGGACAGGTGCACTGGCAGCATTCGTGGCAAAAATTATGGATTAAAACTACACTGGCAAAATCTGTCAGGGACTACAGAGGCTTAAGACTTGGACATCTATGAACTGTGTATGTGTGAAGACCAGTAATTCCAGTAGCAAAAAAAAAAAAAAAATGCACCCTTTCAACATTTGTTTTCACAATAACAATTTATATTAAGACATAGAATTGTATTTTTATTTTTATTATTTGATATACAGGTTTGTTTTGTGCTTAAACCAGCAGAAGTTGTTCTTAATGTCCGACCAAATGGAACTAAATAAATGGTAGAGCCTTTAATGAGCTAGCATTTTGCATATTTAGGTAGAACATGATAAGTAAAGGACAGAGAAAGTGTTCTCAGGATGAGCAGAAAGGCAATTTTAGTTATCAAGGCTGAGTTTCTGTTTTATGTTTCTGTTGTGGCAACAAGGCATTACGGAGTGAGAGAATTAACCATATTTCTCTTCACTCTTGGTGTTTGTAAACATTGCTCAAGGTTATGGGAGAAACACCCAAGATTTAAGTGGGATAATATAGAAGGATTTAGTTATTTATTTTGCTGCAAATTTTGTTTACTGTAAACTTTGATCATTATTTTTCATGAAGCAATTTAAAACATTTCCAACTGTGATTCCTACAATTATAAAAATACAAAAATGTCACTGAATGTTTGCATTTTTAAACAATATCTATATTATATGAGTATATAGAATGCCCTTAACTAGCTTCACTTGAATTAAACATATATGTATATGTGTATGCATATGTGTACATTTTATATATATATAATAGAAAACATTGTGTACCTGTGCATATGTAATTTTCCCCCAAATCTAACAGGTAGTTGATGTTATTTAGGCTGAGCCCTATTTTTAGTCAGAATAGATAGAATATCTTTTGGAGTATAGCATACTCCATTGTTAATGGGTCAACTCCTTTCAAGTATGTTTATCAGTGCTATGTTTTATATAGCATCTAGTTCTTTGAAAGAAGTGACCAACATCACAGAATGAAGCCCATGTTATATGTTCCTAAAGGCACTCAGTGTAGGTCCAGAGGTATGAGATCAAAGGGATTCCATAGATTTGCATGTTGTGAAGAATCCATGGTCTATGGAGGACTCAAATTGGGGAATAATTTCACTTCTTTCCTTATGATATCGTAACGCAGGATTCATATCTGGGTTCATCCCAATGTTCACTTTCTTACCTTTTATTAAGCTATTCAAGGACTCTAAAACACTTGAAGAAATGTGTTAATAAAAACACCAAGTTGTATATATTACACCATCTTTGAGTTATGATCTTCTATACAGATGTGCTACCATTAGAGTATTAACACATTTTAAATGATTCTATATTAATTCTTCAATATATGGATAAACCTCTCCACTGTCACACATATTGCACCTATTGTAAAATCTTGATTTCTAAACTGTAAGTTTCTTCCAAGACCTTCACTTTTTCTCTCTTTCAGTCTAAGTGCTTTTGCTGATTTAAGTACTATTTTAAGTAGCATTTCAATATTTTACCTGTTAAATTGCCATAATTTCAACATGAATCAAAATTACTGTATTGTGATGACTATAACAGTTGTTATTAATCCCAAACCCAGCTGAATGTGAATTAAATATTTCTTTAGAATTACTGTATTTTGATTCAACAATGGCATGATATTTGGAGAATAATTAATCCCGTAACTATTCACCATGTTCAGTTTAACTTCATGTAAAATTGGTAATTCTGATCAAGTTATCACTTGATAACTTATTTTTATTTCACTGCACAGTATATTTTCTCTCCTTCTTGCAGTAAATAATGTATTCTAGATTTGAGTACACCCCACCCCCAAACACACATAGACAAGATACATTTTGGGAATAAGGATTAGAATTTGAGGCTTACATTCAGGAAATGGTGGTGTTTTTCGTCCTTGACCTGTTTGCATGAGGGGACGTTTACCAAAAACCTGGGCATCAAAACTGGCATAATCGAATGGTACTTTTCCAAACTTCTCTTGTTCTTTTGACACTGTGGCTCTGGGAGAGGAGATGGCTTGTGATCGGAAATTGAATTCAATTTGTTTCACCAAGCTTGTCCTGAAGAAAGAGGGGAGAGTTCAAAAGAACTATGATAAAATTCTTAGTGAGCATATTAGCATCAGAATTTAAAGCAGATCTGATGTGTCATGCCTGTCAGTACCCACGGAGACAGTGTACTATGGAAAAGAGCTGGTCACAGTATGATAAAAGAGAGTACTCTGTGCTGGGAGTGAAAGATGGGAGACACCAAGGGTTCTGGATGTCTATGGCGAGGCTGCATGTTGTGGGTCTGTCTCCCATTGATAAAAGAGGAATGTGCAATTTTGCATTTGTCTTATGCAGATACAATGAGCAGCAAGTATTTAATGTCTGTTAGCACTTCGAGTTCCACAGAGAGAAACGCCATCTAACTATCATTAGGGCACTGACAAGGTGTGCACATTCTACATATTAAGACTATTAATCAGCCTGGTGGTGAAAAGTCACGTTTGTAGCTGGTGGGGAAATGGCATTGTAGTCCATCCAAAAGAAGAGATGCTGAATCCCACTCTCCTTCAGCAGAGCTGACAGGAGTCTGACACCTAACAGGGGCAGCATACGCACCAGAAAGTTCACTTCTGAATTGTGAACTTCTTAGACTTTTCACCTTTTTCCCTTTGTCTCAGTGTTTTTGTTGATACTTCAATATTTTATCTGTGAAATTGTTATCATTTCAATATGAATCAAAATTTTGTATCATAATAGCTATCACATTTTGCAATAGAATTACCTTAATCCAAGCTATGAGTTAAATATTCCCTTACAACTACTGTATTGGGATTAAACAAGGACATCATATTTGTGTAGTACCAGTCCCAGTCAAGAAAAACACAAATATAGTCTAATAGCAAATGAATATAAACAAATACACCTTTCAGAATTTAGCAATATCTAAAATACTTATATGTTTTTCTTTTGTTTTCCACCAAAGAATGCCTGACTCATCAGAATGTCAAAATTTCAATGATATTTCTTGGATTACATAAAAAACATTTAAACTGCTACATAAAAATATTTGAAAAAGCAGTTGATCTTATTATTAGATATGTAACCTTGTGTATAACCTTAATATATCTTCATTCTAGTCTAAAACACATTTTTTAAGAAATTAGGGAAATAAGACTAAATGCTATTTCTATATTTGATAAATAACCTACTTATGGAGAAACTAGAGGATATGGCCATATTAACCAAGAAAATTGTTGTTAAGATTATTAATTGCTAGTTATTCAGTAATTCATGATCTTTGCTTGACATATGTTCTTCACTCATCTGATTTTGACTCTTTAATTAAATCTCTAAGAGCACATATTAAGGGAAGCCATATCTTGAAAATGCTTCTAATAACAATGTTGCATTTCAGTGTCTCAGTAACAGTGAAGATCTGGTCATCTGTTTTAATCCTGAAATAACTTTTCCTATCTATATGATTTGTTATTAATAAATGTATAACTTTACATTGTGTTATCACTTGTTTATTATTTAAGTATAAGTAAGGTCTTCCAAACTGCTGGAGATTGTGAAGTACCTGGGGCAAACAGGAGATATTTCATTAACACTTATCAATTCATGGAATGTGTTTTTGCCTTAAAGAAATTATATGTATAGCTGGAACAGAGGAATGAATATATAACACCACATATTTTGGGTGGCTGTGAGTGATTTATGAAGGCATTATCTGCAGGGAGAAAGGTTAATCAATCATCGGGAGGGCTTACCTGACTAGTGGGATGGGTTGCATTTAGTGACACAGAATTTTGATTAATGTATGTTATACACTTTATTTCTTTTAGATTCATCCACATTGTGTTACCTTTACATATAGATTAATTTCATGTTAAGCTTCTCAGGGTCTAGCAGTTCATTTAAGTGAGAGTATGATTAACTGGACCAGCCTCTCAAATAGACATTGGTAGTTGTGAATGAAGGTCGGGCCATAGTGAACTGGCACATGAGGGGAGCTGGACGCATTGCATAGGGGCATGGCATGGACAGACTACTAGGAACGTCATGGGAGGGTCATACCTGTGAACCTGGTCAGGACACTGCCCGGTTTTGGGTGAATCAAGCTGATTTTTGTCCTGGGACATTGCCAATTTTTCAGCTGCAGCAATTGGACAACCAGAAAGACTGTTAAAAAAAAATTAAAAAGGAGGATTTGAGTTAAAAAGATAAAGTAATTTGCTTTGGCATGTACCTCACAACATACTTGGCACACATTAAACGTTAAGTCATATTAATAGTTCATTTAGCACCTTTCTCATGTTAATAGATCCCAAAAGGGTTTTGCAAACTACCGTGTCAACATTTGCCCCCCAATCCCATCTAAGAAGTGATGAGTAACAAATTCATTTTTAAAAATTGGAAAATTATGTAAGGGAATTATTCTGAAAGTCTATAACATTTTAAGTAGAATGTACCCACTCCAATTGCAATGTGCCCAGCTATAGATGTTAGCATGATAATTCTATGATTTATCTCAAGATTTTTAGAAAAATGTTAGGGACTTAATTTTAAATCAGTATATTTATATACTGATTTATTTTATATATATATATATATATATATATATATATATATAGTGTAGAATATGAAGTTTTCTGGCAATATGCTTACGAGTTACATAGTATCTTGTGAGCACATAATAGATACACAGTATATATTTATATACCACACAATACATTTGTATGTAAATGCACATGTGTGTTTTAAGTGAGTAGGAATCTCAACGTAATGAATCTCAATGAGATGAAATGATGTTTACCTTCCTCCTGGCTTATAGTCGGAACCACAGTAGATTGAAGCCCTTTTGGTACCCTATTAATGTTTATTGGATGGGATCCAAGACAAACCCTACACAACTCCTTTCAGTGTCAAAACGGCTATGGTGAATTTCCAGAGCAAAAAAGAACATGTTCTGTTTATATGATTATATGAATGTATAACTCTAGTGTTCAAATAGAACATTTTTTTGTTTGCCTGTTAAATGATAATTTCTCAGAAAGTAAAGTGTGTTTTTTTGTTTTTTGTTTTTTACTCTGTATACATTGAGAATATTTCTTATCTATTTCAAGTGGTAACATATTTGATAGTGATCCAGAGATTTTGATGACACAGTGTTAGCTCCTTATTTCCTCCGTGGGAAGTCTGTCTCACTTCTCTTCGTTAGGTAAGAGTAGCCTCTCATCACAATTACCTCCTGTGGGTATTGCGGTTGCTGTTCACATGCCCTCTTCCGGTGCATCCTGGGGTGGGACACTTGAGCACGTTTTCATGCATGGCAAGAACTGAGCACAAAATATCACAAAAAGAAAAGAATAGTATACCATGAATACATAACATGCTAACAAACTGACTTCTCAACTTTGCATTCATAAGAATTTGGTTATATAATCTGCCTTTCTTCCCCCCATAAATGTTTGGGTTGAAATTAATGAGCGCTCAAGAACTTCAAAAACTAAATTCAGCAGCGTTCTCAAGTTTTAGTTTCTTTAAACATCATGTCATGGTTAACACTAGACTTAAATAAGACTATTCTTTTGGTATTTAACTTAAAATGAGAGGCTCATAAACTTCCTTTTATATTTATGTGCTTTTCCTTGGAAAAGTGGATGGAGAACACTATTTGTCAAGTAGTTCCTGTTAACTTTTCCTCCTAACTTCTGAATATAGTGTTCTTTATTTTCTAAGAGATATTACTTTGATTCTTGTCCATTGCTCCCCACTCTCCCCTGCACTGCCTTTCAGTTATTGGTGGAAGAGCATGGTTGAGTGAACAACTCGGTAATCACTTTGAGGAACTGGTAATCTACTGGGACAGTGCTGAACAGATTAGATGCACTGATTTGTAAAGCTGTGTTTTCGAGGAGGGTGATGCTGAGGCATTCACACCACTGTGGTTTGTATAACCCACGGGTGTTTCAATATGTAGGTTAAAGAAGCAGAGGATGTAACACATTGATACTTCAAAACTAAGAAGATAGCCCTTTCCTCCTCCTCCAGTTTCCTAGCTCACAGCAGGGCTGAGGGTAGAGAAGCCACCAATGTTTGCTCTTGCTCAAGGCCCTCTGCTACTGCAGGATGCCCTCGAGAGGCATGGCAGGCATCACAAGTTCCTACACGGAATGGGGAGATGGGGAGTAGGGAGGACCCTGGTGATGATGCAAGTTTTTTTTTTTTTTTTTTAAAGACTCCATGCCCAGTGTGGAGCCCAGCTCATGGCTTGAACTCACAACGTTGAGATCAAGACTTGAACTGAGATCAATAGTCGGATGCTTAACCAACTGAACCACCCAAGTGCCCCTGGAATGCACTTCTTATATTTAGATGATGCACTGAGGCCAAAACCGCTCCTGGGCTTAAGGAAGACACACCTCTGGGTGAGAAAGGACTGTGCAGTCCACAGTTAATTTTAACCATGACTTTTATTTTCTGTTTTCTGATGCTTTGTCATCTGGGCCCTGGCAAACCCTGGAGAGACTGCCCTTTCAAACAGCTTTTAAAGGCAAATCAACCAATTGGGAGCCCATGCCCAACTGCCTCTTTTATTAGACTCACACTATCCACCTGCCAGGTATCAGACACCCATAGACAACCCTCAAGCTTTGGAGCCTACTGAGAGAATTCAAACTAGCCAGTCTTAAGACTGCTTACTTCGCTCCTTCCCACAGAAACCAGAAGTTCCCCCTATCTCTGGCCCCTGATGACCCTGATGCTCCCCTATGTGGCCCTGCCTGCTGTGGCACACCCCCACGCTTCAGGAACTGTAACAAATTCTCTTCGCAATGTCGGTTGTCTCCTAACCTACTGTCCTAACTGTACTCTCAGGTTTTCTATTAACACATTGATTTTAAACACCCAGCTAGATGGAAATTTTCTTGACACAGAAAGGAAACTTTGTATTTCCATTCCAAATTCCACACTGGAGGAGAAAGAGGATAAGATCATGATGCTGTGGTGCACTAAGACGAAGCCTACTGGTTTTAAGGATAGGTCATACTCACTTTCCAGGGGAACCCGCACTTTGTGGGGGCACCCCGAAAGGCTGCGGTGGTGGGGGTAGAGTCCTGTCACGTGTCCCGTGCCATCGCACCCGGGGATAGGGCACTTGGTCTCCCTCTTTTCAGGCCTCGGTGAATCTACAGAGAAATTAAATCAAGAGATTCATCTGGCTCTTCTTTCTCTCCCCATTCACTAGAGTGGCCTTGCAGGGTGACATTCTCACTTCACTCAGTTTTTACAGCATAAACATTCTTCTCACATTGCCTTGAATAAGACCCTCAACTAAGACCTGTGGAAGCATAAAAAATGTTTTCAGTTTTCTTGGTTTTCTAAACAAAGGCTGACATAGGGCAAGGGAGTGTTAAAATACAGAGATGGTTTTAAGTTGTCATATCACATATTGTAGTTAGTGTCTCATTATGAAAAATGAACCCCACACCAGAGGCAGATGATGCCTAAGCTCCTGAAAAGGAAAAAAAAAAAAAGTGAGAAAGAAGAATGTATTTAAACTAAAACTATCTCTTATTGAAAGGGTCTCAAGAAAGCCAGATTCCAAATGATAAAACAAAGAAGAAACCCCATCTGAGAAGGGTTGCTCTGGTCTTGTTCCTGTAGGTCCCTGGCCTCCTGTGGCCCGAGGGTTCCAGGTCCAAGTGCTGCTCCCTCATACATGTAGAGTCCGCTCTGGCCAGAGTCAGGGAGGGAGTCAACAATGGCATCTTGTGCCATGCCCAAACAGTTGGCCGTGCTGCAGAGGGCCCAGAGCCCCAAATCCCAATGCATTGCCACTTTGGATCGATCAGAAGAGAGCAGCTACGGAGAAGCAGCTTTCATTTTACTCTGAATGCAGAAACTGAAAGCTCAGGTGATAGGACAGCCTGGCAAGGAAACATTCTAGGAAGAATGGAAATACAGGGTGGGGTTGGCCTTGGGTGGTCTGTACCACCAAGAACATTGGGGTATAGAGGGGGACCACAGGTGCCAGGAGGCAGAGAAAAGGGGCACTTTGTAACACTGCTAGTCAGGCTGCCGTGAGGCATTGACCTAGAGGGGGAGGTCGGAGGGTGAGCTGGGGTTTTAATCTTCCAGCCCACACTTTGCTGAGTGTTAGATGAAAGGTTATATAAATTTGTAAAATAAATAAGGATTATCATGAATTTGGGTGGGGTTAGAGCTACCACAGCAGAGGCCTTCTGCAGATATTTTCATACTTGTGACTGAGATAATAAACCGAAAACAGAAATGCATTTTTGGAGCCCAAATCACCCCCCTAACTTGCGCCTGGAATGATATACCAATCATTGGGACAATCTTGTCTCTCAGCACTGATGATCAGAGGAACCAGAATCACAATGGACATGGGAGCCTCAGAGAAAGGACCAGTGTGGAATGGAGGCTGGCCACAGAACACGAAATATCACGAATAATGAATCCACTTGATGCTGAGAGTGAAAATAAATAATCTGTGTGATCCTGTCTTAGGAAAGCTGTTGGCGGTGGACTAGGGGGCAGAACCCTGCTGCGTGAGGATGCGGCGGGCCCATATGCTCCTGCTCCAAGCCTAGTACAGAGAGCAGAGCAATGTCGCGGGATGCGATAGCCGTCTCCAGGGTGGGATATTGCGATGAGCAGACGTGCCTCTGTGATACCATGCCACCCCAGTTGTTGGATTATAAACAGCCCTGGGCAGATGGGCACAGCAGGTTGTATGTAATGCAATTATTTGGGGGCATGCTTTCACTAAAGGGGGAGGAGCCAAGGATCCTTCAGCTTAGGCACACACTGCCTGGGAGGGAAGGTCAGCAGAGAAAACTGGAGATCGAAAGTGAGAAATGAACAGCCCAAAGACAAGGATGCCTTAAGTATCAGACATTTATGTTTCGTGAAAGACAGGATTTAAATGCCATGGTATCGGGATTGTTCTCTGTCTTTTGCAAGAAACAAAGAGGCATATTAAGAGTTTTGACATGTTCTTTGACTTTTATGGCTATATATTTACTTAATCCAAAAATGTTGCTAATTGTGAAGTTGTTTTAGGCCTATAATATCTGTAGATGGAGAGTCAAAAATCCATGAAGTTTGATTCAAGTGACATTACGGTGGTTGACACTGCATATGAGAAGGAATTAGAAAAGAGGAAAAGCAATGTGGGTTTTGATGCCCTTCCTCCTTTGGACCTGGTCCAGGTGAGGCCACATTTCTAAACCACATTGAAAGGTTTGGCGCTGTGCATTTCCCCTCCTTGCCACATTATTTGTCTATAGGAAGCCAGAGAGGGTGTGGGAGATAAGGCCGGGCTGGCACCTGACCAGGTGTGGTCCACTGACAGTCCATCATGCACATTTGTCTGCAAGCCTTCTCTGCTGGGTGAAACAGATGCCATGAAATGCTCTGTGGGGCAGAACCTGTTTGCATGATAAGAAGGCAGAGCTTGAGTTCTCAGGTGACTCTCAGGCCTGGCTCTTCCTCTCCTTTTATTTTCTTTGCTGAATGCTGCATAATGAGAGTGACCTTATACTCTGGTGACCTTACATGTGGGTATGCCTGGGACTATCTTATTTGCACCTGATACACTCCTGTGATTGTTTGTAGCACTCCCCTTTGCTCTGAAAGTGCCTTAGGCTGTACAATAAATTCTATGGGGACTCCATACACACTGTGACCTAAAATCTCACTAAATCTTAGTAGCAATGAGATAGCCAAACTTTTTAAAAAAATTGTTTAGAATTGTTGACTATTTGCAGACTTGGGTAAAACGATACTTTAAAATGTTAGTGTTCTCTCCTTTAATAGCGGGGTCTCATGCCCAGGGTATATGGGAAATTAGGATGATATTGTGGAGATCATGAATCTCAGTTGGTATGATTATTGACCTAAGAGCATGGAATACAAACCAGAGGAAGAAGCTGCTCATAAGCTACTGTGTCCCACATCTGGGATGAGGAAGAAGAAAGTCAATATCTAACTTGGACTCTGCAAGTACCTTCTAGATGAAGCCTATAGTTCCCATGCATTATGGGCCTTACCTCTTTTTGCCTCTCTTTCATACTAGTCTGGTCTGGACCTCTTGCAAAGGCTTTAAACGCTGCAAGGCCGGACCATGCCCCACACAATAGGATATATTATTGAATTAGCCAGCCTCATTCATAATTCTCTAAACCTTATATCACCCATGTTTACAAACACAGATTCTATTGGCTTGGTGGGTTTTGAAAACAAAAAGTTTCAAGTTCTATAAAAATGACCAAAAGTTTGTCAAATATTGTAAGCTATGGCACAAAGAATTAAAGTTTCTCCAAACACTGAATTTCATGGAGCTAGAAGATATCATCAGCTGCAACATAGTGCCGCATTTTGTGTTAGCAAGCAAGAAAAAAATTACTGAAAATTAAATTATGGCATACCCTTTTGATTTCACAGATGTTAAAATGGGAAAACTGTGTATCTTAGAATGAATGAAATACAGTAGATGACAAATTATGACTTTTTAGGATTTGAGGTCAACTTTTTCTTTCTTTTTTTTTTTTTTGTAGCCCATTTAAAAAAATAACAAATATGCACACAGGCAAGTTTAGCACGTTGCATATTAGTGGAGTATACAAAGCTCACAGTGGGTCCCGTCCCAAATCATACCCTGGATTGATATTCTATCTTGATCCTAATCCTGGCAAGTGTGTTTGCATAGTATTATTATCTTGTTCCTCACTACATGACATTATTTTATTCTTTGTTTTGTTTTCTCAGCTCTGAGCTGCAAGACAATAATTGACAAAGATTACAGGTGAGTACTACAATAGACCCCAAATGAAAAAATATACAGTTCATTTCTGCATAAATCTCAGAAAGCAGATCAACCAAACCATAACTAACATATTATTCTTGTAAGCTTCCTGGAGACATGACCTTAATTTTCTCTAAGATATTCTAATTTTGTGGTTCTTAGACTTCAAGGTACACAAGCATCGTCTGAAAAGTGTGCTTTAAATAAAGGCAAGTTCTGGAGCAGTAAGTCTGATAGGATCTTGGAAATACCCATCTTAAACAAGCCTTCTAGGCACTTGAGAACCACCATTTGGGAATTATCACCAGGCCGATCTGGTGTAAGACTCAGGGTGGGCGGAGGAGTAGCATTATGGGAGATAGGACATAATTTCACTAAAGTTGAGGAACAGTTTTAAGGCCTCCTCCAAGCACATTTATTCTTCTCATTCATGTTTGGACCAGATATTTGTGGCCCTGAGTTAGAGACCTGGTAAAAGCACAAGGCTTCTAAAGGCATTAGCATTCAGTTTTATCCTAAGAAGGATCAGAGCATCCTGTCCAACTTGCCAGTAGCTCAACTTTATTTTGAAGCTCCTCTAAAGGAGTCAGATGATCCCCATAAGAAAGTGGAAAAGAAAAATTAAATTTCTGGAATTGATTTGATTAATAAAATGATTTAAAATCCAAAAAGTACTAATGTCCCTCTAACATGTCCAATATAGTACTGTACAAATACTATATATTTTTTTAAAAGCTGTCAAATTAAGAGAAAAAGAGGCAATGATTCCTTCTTCATGTGTAAAAACATCGCAAAACTGACCAAGCTTGATCTGAGAACAAGCTAGAGAGCAGACAGAGGGAAAAAAAAGATATTGTTATTTTACAATATGAATTCGTTTTTAAATTGCATCAAGTTGTCAAAAGCTATCTGGAAGTGATAATCAAATCTTACTAATTTTTCTTCAAACCATCAAAGCAATTTTATTCCTAAAATAAATGCAAAAAAAAAATGTGTCTTACGTTTATTGTTAAAGATTTGTCTTCCACCCATGTCAATAACTTTGGTTTGTCTCCTTTCCCCAGCAAGGTGTTCCAGTAGAAACCTGTCCAACTCTTTGTAGGTGTTATGGAAAACACAACCTCGCTCAGCTTGGAGAGCAATCGCCTGCTCCAGCAAACTCAAGTTCCCCTTCGCCTTCTCCAGGTCAACAGACTCTTCTGTCATGGCGGCCAGACACTCGTTATCATCTTCCTCCATCCCAGTGAATGAGGGCTGGGCTTTGCTGTCCAGGGGTTCTCTAGGAGCATTCTGTGGGTCTCTCCTTTCTGTTTCAGAATCACACATATTTTCACAAGAGATAAACTTGTCACCTTCAGTTTTTATTTCAGGAACTTCCAATAGGTCTTTTCTATTATCCACTAGAATATACTTTGGGACCCTGTGTGGTTTGGTTTCTTCTGAGAAGTTGGAGCCACTGTCCCAACCATTCTCTGCACTTTCAGAGTTACTTTCACTGTCATCTGAGGAGGAGAACTGAAGCTGGGAATCATCGATCTTTTCTTTTCCATCATCAGAATGAATCATAAAGCACTCATCAGCTTCATCACTCTCTGCTTTTAGAGACTGGATGCCACTGTCATTTAAATTCTCACTTATGGTCTGAACAGACACATTTTTTTCAAATTTCCCCAAGTGCATTAAAGATTTGACCACAAGCTCTTGATAGCAGCCATATCTGTCTTCCTTCCCATTGGAATTTTCTTGTGTAGTCGAATGACGGTTTTCATCCATAGGTTTTATCACGATTTCTTCTATGGAAAAAGAAAGCCAATACTTAAAAAACAACAGCAAAAAATATTTTAAGAAAATTGCACCAATAAGTAGATGAGAGACAGATTTATATATATATATATATGTACATGTATATATACATATATCATATATATACATCATAAGTACAACATGTGAATATGTGGATTCTATCAACTTTATAAACATTGAAGAGAAAAATATATATGATATCATAAGTACAACATGTGAATATGTGGATTCTATCAACTTTATAAACATTGAAGAGAAAAATATATATGAATGACTATGAAACAAAACAAAACAAACCTTAATGTTCTGAGAATTGCATTTAAAGAAGTGAGCTAGTAAAATTTTCAGCTTATTAACAGCTCATTGTTTCCAGGATACTGAAATAGATACTTAGCAATAACAGAATGCTGAATGTAAAATTGTTGTTACTGTACCTCTTATATTTGCAAATCCTAACCAACCAGAAGGAAATCAAATATGTATAATACTATGCATAAAGGAAACATTAAATTTCTCTGCTAGCATGGCAGCGTATTTTCAAAGCTTATTTGGTTTATGTTCACTGCCTCCACAGTTTCTCAAACATACTTTCAGATTTTATGGGATGTTAGTTAAAAGACAGAATACATCCACATACAGATGATAACTAAGAGAGTTCTGAAGCTTACAAGGTTTCCTGTTGACTTTCAGAACTGTCACACAGAAATTCCATGCCAAGGGAAATGCAAGTAAATGGGAGAATTAGCATGATCAAATATCTTAATTTAATTTAATTAATTTATTTATTTTTAAGGATTTTATTTATTTATTTGACAGAGAGAGAGATCACAAGTAGGCAGAGAGACAGGCAGAGAGAGAGAGGAGGAAGCAGGCTCTCCTGCCGAGCAGAGAGCCTAATGAGGGACTTGATCCTAGGACCCTGAGAACACGACCTGAGCCGAAGGCAGAGGCTTAACCCACTGAGCCACCCAGGCGCCCCCAATTATCTTTTTTTTAAAGGATTATTTATTTGTTTATTTATTTGAGAGAGAGAAAAGAGAGACTGAGGAAGAGATTGAGAGCAGAGGGTAAGAATCTCCAGCAGACTCTGTGCTGGGTGCAGAGACCACCGTGGGGCTTGATCTCAGGACCCTGAGATCATGACCTGAGCTGAAATCAGAAAGTTGGAAGCTTAACCAACTGAGCCACCCAGGCTTTCCAGCATGGTCAAAAACATAAAATAGTGACATATTTTCTGGCCTGGTACGTGCATGCATTTGCGTAAGAAGGCAATGAGATGAGAGATGGAGATGGCCAAGTATGTAGAACATCAACGAATTGTTTTCAGTAGCTGGCCGACTGGAGTCTTGACTGTCAAAGAGCCTTGGGACTAAGAGCAGGTCTCCACATGCCAGTCTGTCCAGAACAGTCCACTGGATCTGTCCCAGTCCAGTTATCAGTGTCATCCCCTTCATCCTTGGCAGTGGCCCAGCTGCAGTGACAGTATGTGTATATAGTCATATGTATATGTATATGCATGCATGCATGCATGTATACATGCACACACACATATGTATTATACCTATATATATAATATATACGCACACACATATATATACATATGTGTGTATGTGTGTGTATGTGTGTGTGTATACATATATATACACACACACACACACATATATATACATACACACACACACACATATATATAAATGATAGCCTACCCAAGCCTGCACCCAATTAAGGGTACAATTCAGGGTGCAGATCTGCTAGTGTTCCAGCCCTGGCTTAACATACATGGTGATCAGGGGAGCATGACACCCAGCATACATGCGGCTCTGAAATGCACCAGACAACCCAGCAATGGTCTCCTTAAATATTCAGTCAGACAAAAGAAGAAGGAGAAGAAGAAGAAGGAGAAGGAGAAGGAGAAGAAGGACCATTTCTGTGTCTCTGAAGACAGAGTGGAGGATGGGCAGTGCAAAATAATAAGCCCCCTTAAAGACTGTGAAAGACACCAAGTGAAGTGCATTCTGTGTTAATAAACATCTTTGGAGGGAAGAAAAGGACAGCCATCCTGCGTGATGGCTGCAGGAGAGGGTGTCTGTGGAGGAGACAATGTGCCTTTTTTGGTCTCATTTAATTTTTTATAAACATTGTCTCTGACAAGGACACTCAAAAATACATCTCCATCATCTTCCTTTCTGGTAATTATCTCCCTAAATCAACACTGGACTGCCAGGATCAAGTAAATATTGCCATAGTAACTAAAAGCATTTTTGGATGAAGGGAAGAATTTAGTCACAACACTAGCCCCTTTAAATAATGCTGATTATAGGGTGCAGTCTTTTGTTGGGATCTATTCAACATAAACTGAAAAATTTAACATTTTACTTCCTAGAAAAGAGGCTGGATAAACAAGCACATCACATTTGATAGGATGGTCTTTTCCCTTCTGAATTCATATCAGAGGAATTCCAGGTTTAAATAATATATTAAACATAGTCTAAAATGCAAATGAAGTTTTTCTCAATAACACGGTTGGCTATTAGGAGAAAGTGTAAAGGGTTATGATAATTTTAAAGTATTATGAACTACAGAAAACAAATAAAAAGCATTTTCAGTGAATATGCTCAATTCATTGAACTATTCTCTCACTCCACTTAACTACCCACATGTGTACAATAATGATTTATAGACATTATACCTAATTATGCATATTTGGGCTGTGTTAGAGTGCTAACAAAAGCTCTAGAAAGCAACAATTACCTCTGTTGCTTAGCTACATAGTTTAAAATATTCCTATTAAGTGCAGATCACCAGAGAGGCGGGAGTGACAAAAACGCACATGTGCAGGACAATGCGTTTCCCTGTGCTGCTGCCAACTGCTAGCATTTTGGGTCATTTCCAGTTTACATAATTGTTTGGTTCAACTGTTTGTTATATGCTAAAAGAAAATATTTATTAATTATTCTTCAGAAAGAGAGGAGTCCTGCCGATAGAGGTGCCTACGTGCATCGCACGAGATGGTTTCCAGGGATGTTCCGCAAATCTGCAAACTAACTTCCCGTATACCTACCCCTCTCTGGCTTTCGCTGTCATTAGAAGAAAAAAAAAAAAAAAAGTTGAGTTAGCTTTTGAAACTGACAGATCTGTGATGAGGTTCTTGTTTCTCATAGCTCTGTAATGGGCTGCCTACATGTTTACGTTAGTGTGTTTTTATTTTCATGGTGGCTTGGTGATTCATTTGGTACCTTTATCATTGAAACAGCTAACCTGATTTGATTCCGGGCTTGCGTGCTCATGTCTGCGCAAACCCCAAAGGCATCCTTGACCTTTCTGAACCCTGTGTCTTCATTTACATGGTGAGGCACGTTGCAGAATTTACACGCGAGAGCATGCAAAGCAGGTGCCACACAACAGGTGTTTGGTAAATGACGGCTGTCTTCTCCCTTCCCCAGATACACATTCAGAGCACAGTAACGGCAGGCAGGCGATACAAGGGAGCCTCTACATAAATGAGGTGGGGCTTGTGTTCTGCTTAGAATAAGCAGTGAAACTGATCCCTGAGAGAGGGCACAGCCCACAGTGTGAAGGAAGCTCGGCCAGTTTACCACCTATGCCATGTGGGCTATGGAACTGCTCATCAACCACCTTCAGAAACTGGGGCTTCAAAGCCCAGTGCACAATGTGAAGGGAAAACCACAATGGGTTTGAGGTCCACAGACTAGGGCCGAATTGCTGGCTCAGCACCACCTGCCTGTGTGACCCTGGGGCAGGTCTGTGTCTCTGAGTCCTGGTTCCTCATCATTTAAATGAGGATGATCCAGTGACATCCTAGGACAATAAACTGTTATGCTCCTGGCATGGTGTTCAGTTCTTTATTGCATTTAATCTTTACAGTAATGACAAGAAAGGGACTTTCTGCTCAATTTTACAGAAGGGAAATGATTTTCTAAGGGGCTAGGGGCTTGCTCAAGATCACACAGCTAGCCAGGGGTGGCGGGGGTGGAGGTGGGGGCTGACATCCAGATCCAGGGCCATCCCTCTACAATAAGCTACCCCAAATCCCACAGTCCAGGAAGCTCATATTTCTCAACTGATGCTTATAAAACACAGCAACCCTTAGGAGAAACTGTTCAGAATACTAATAGTCTATTATTTTCCCAAGTTTGGTTACTTTCAAGGGTGAATTTACAGGAAGATACTAAAATACAATTGTCACCTGACTTTTGATCAAAAAACAATGACTTTTAAATTATAAATAAAATACGTAAAAATGAATAAGCAGCAATAACAAGACAAAAATTAACAAGTACCCACGCCTTGGCTATCTCTGTATAACAGTGTAGGTCAGAAAATTCCTTGGGCACACTCCCTGGGGACACAGAGAGTTGGATGTTTATCTAGCACACACCTTTCTCCTCCTGAAAGGATTTCAAAGTGTGGGGCAGGAGGAGGGGCCAGAGCTGGATGACACCTTCTGCGACATGAAGTAAAAAAAAAAAAAGTTTTGCCTGATATGAAAAATTTCACATTTGTTTATTTGCTTGAAACCAAAGTCTCTATTCTAAGGGGTCTGGTAATCCTAGAAAGCATGCTAATGACTCTCACATTATCTCTCAGATGTTCTGCCTCAAAACAACTTTAAAAATTCCTCTGAAAATCACAAGTTTGGAGTTTGACTCCTTTAATATAGCTGGATTTTATTTTAATTGGATTTTAGTTCTCTTTCTGGAACTATCAAAGTTACTTGTATACATACACTAGTTTTCCAGGTCTCTTGACTATGTAAATCTTGCTAAGAATTAAAGCCCTAGAAAAATGAATTACTCTTTCAAAATTCTAAAATCATAGTGGTTTATCCCTTATTTGTGTTTTGTTGAGAGATAAAATGTGTTAAAATGATCATTTCAGCCCCTAGAGCTCCTACAGTTGTGACAGATTTCCCTGCGTCATGACTGTGAGCTTAGAAACTGAGGAAGGACACCACACACGTGGCTAATCTCACTTCCAGACGACTCTTCTTTTCCTTGTTGGCATTGGGAAAGCACACGCTTGTCCTACCGCCTGGTAGTACTTTGCAAGCTCATCTTCTGCTTCCCCCAGTGAAGAAGGTGTATCTGTAAGGTTTCTCCACATTCTCTTCTATCACCATTAATTCGTACCTGCAGTTCTTTGAAAGACACCCAGTTGAGGGCTTGAGACATTATTTTGCTATTAAATGGATTCAAGCCCAGGACTTAAAGCCTTCCTAAGCACTGCCCCCTTCTTCATCATCTGAACCACCTGCTGAAGGCACAACTGGGCACACACGTGCAAGGTAAAGGCCTCGGGGAACCTGGAGTAAATGAGATGACTGGTGAAAACCCTCCTTTCCTTCTGGAGGGGTGGGTAACTTGCTCAGAGGTCTGAAAACAACTTAAGATTCTTTCAGCTGGGGGTAGGAGCATCTGTGACCTGTTATTTCTGGAAACGTAACTTTGTGATTGAATGTTATAGAATACCGCCCTCTCTACTTTCGGAAAGTAGTCAGAGCATGGGAGGATTGGAATATGGAACACGGTTAGCTGGGAAATAATTATTTTGCTTATCCTTCAATTGTTTCCTAATTATCTTCTTTTCAACACCTACAACCTGCATTACCTTAAGCATTAAATCTCTTTGGTCTTCAATGATCTCATCTGTAAAATTGGGACCATAATCATGCATACCTCATGTCATCATGGGGTGAATTAAGTGATATAATTTATGTGCCTGGAATATATTAAGCATTCAAAAATAATGGCCACTACCACTACAATTTCAGCATATTCATTATTAATAGTGCTTCCAGTGCTAAATATAAAAATAGATAACATTTGTGAACCTGCAAATATTTGTCCATCAGTGCTTCTAACTGAATGTTTCACTGAGTACATTTTGACAGAATATTTTCTTGGTGGATACTGGGCATCTATGATGATCACACAACTAACATAAAAGGCAGGAAATTAGGTGCAGATATAGTCCTTGTCCTTATGGCACTTACAAGAATGGGTTGGTGTAAAAGATGCCCATTTAAAAAAAATATTTATATATGTCAACTAGATGAATTTTATAGCTCGAATCTAACCACATCGATTCAAGGACCCTCCCTAATACTAGATTCAACCTACAGCTTTCATAAATCAACAAAAAGTGGACCAGTTCAAGGAAACAAGATGAGTCAAGGCTCATTATAATTTACAGATGAACAATGAGGCTTTAAGCCATATGGTAAATACAGGGAATCCAGGACATTTGCTTAAACACTGTCAAATCATCATACAACTTTGTTTTCACTACAGAATCTCAAACTACTTGCAAGCTAAGATTACTGAAGATCTGATGGTTGTGTCCTGAATTTGCGTTCAGTCAGTATGCTTTTACATCTTTTCTAGTAATCCCTATTGCTGTCACTTTAATTCTGTCTATAATAGATACTTATGATCTAAGAGCTCTTTGCCTATGGTTTGTAAAATACATACTTATGATCTAAGAGCTCTTTGCCTATGGTTTGTAAAATACATACTTCTTTTCAAATGACATCATATTTAGTATATTTTGATTCTTTAAAAATCACATTCAGAAAAAAACATATTTCATAGAATATATGTACACCTTATTTCATTTTCTAATCAGTCAAACTTTTGATTTCCATTTTTTTTTTCATAAATTTTTGAGATATTTGCATGTCCTTCAATTTCAGCCTCAAGCACAAAGTGGTTGGTGATGGTCCAACTCCTGGAGACACTGTGACCACCATGAACCCAATAGGAGTAACTGTGAACTGGGGAGAAGCATATCCTAAAATTTCAAAATAGTAACTATATATCACTCAGCATGCAAAGAGCATTTTGTGAGCAAGTGAAGAATTGAATTCATGAAATACAATGTGTGCCTAAAGGTAATTGAAAATCACTTATTTCAGAACTAATGGGCACAGTGATACATTTTCTATAACACATCATTTTCCTACTGAAGGATCTAGACTGCCAACTTTGGGTCCCTTCTGCTAAGTCCATTGCTATAAGTATTTATTTTAAAGATGGTAAAAGATTAGGGTCACAGGTCACCTGCATTAGCCTGTGTTATTAATACCTATTGTATTTGGGAGGACAAATAATATTCTGTGTGTTTATAAAACAAAAAGTAAATTATTTATTTATATATGTCATCTCTTAGATACCTTAGAGGCTTAAATATGTCCTTTTATTTTTAAGCGTTCTTTCAAGGATAGACATCTGTCCTATTAGGGAGTCAAGGTACTCTTTAAGGCTTAGTATCTTTTATTTTCCTCAAAAAGAGGCACACTCCAATTCTGTGCTTTTGAAAATAGACTCAGGCAAGAACTCTCTATGACTTAAATTTAGACTCCCGCAGTTACTGATAAACAAAAAAAAATTGGCTCTCAGTAAATGGATGCCAAGTGAATAAATGTTTGGTTTTGCTTTCAAATGGGAATTTGCTTCTACGGCCACAAATACTGGATGTTCTATGTAAGTTAAGACTGAGGCTTTGGTGTCAGGGAGTAGATAAGTTTGGGCTATTCCCGCTTGCTACCTGTGGCAGTGCGATCGCTGGCTTCCGGGAGGCCGTCTTCCTCCTCTGCCTCGGTCCTGTCATCACATTCTCTGCAGTCCAGGTTTGGGCTGTAGTGTCGGGGCTTCATTAGCAGGGATTTTCTCTTGTTGACTGGGACACCCAAAGCCTGCTCTGCAGCTCTCCTCTTCTTCGCCATGGAGCAATCATACGCAGCACTGTAGTGATTGAGGGAAGAACATGGAGAAAGACTATACCACTACTTGCCATTTGATTTCCATGAAGTATAACCCAAAACCCGTGGAACCTGGGAATAAAGTTTAGGTTTAGGTGTTGGCACTAACAAAAACAGCCCACCCATTGAATCTACCGAACTGTGTGGATTCTGTTTTACTGTCTATCAGAAGAGTTTTTTTTAAAAAAAATCATCCTTAATCCTGAGTAAGCATATGTTAATCTGTGCTTTGCTTGGCACTACATTAAATACCCAGGGAGGGATGAAACAAGATTTGCACTGGTTTGCTAATCCTAAGAAACAGCTAATGTGAAAAATATACCACGAGACACACACACAAAAAAACATGTCCAGTATGGATAAATCACAAGGTTTTTCAAAATAGTTGTTTGCTACCCAAACTGCTTATCTCTGTCACAGTTGCGGATCAAACTTGAGATGCCACATCCTGAGTTTGACCTGAAAGAGGAAAGCATAAAAGGAGGGGCAAGCTAGGAACATTCCATCAACCCATCTCCAATCTCTCTCTCTCTCTCTCTCTCTCTCTCACACACACACACACACTTTAAAAAAGGTGAAAAGATGCTACCTGGCATTCTGCCTTCTGACTCTCACCCATTTGGCACACAGAACAAACAAATAAAAGGAGGAGAAATAAGATTGGATTTCACAAGAATGGACAACAGTTTATCCTTACTCCTGTCCTCATATGATTTTGTTTGGAAATGCTCCTGAGAGCAGCTCTTTCAAAACAGATTTCCTACATATAGCTCACTCAGAATTAATGCAGATCACTCTATGTGCTGAAGTTAAGACAAACATTCTCTTGGCAAGATCCAGGAAGACCAGAGGATTTAGCCCACAGTGAGTCTGTGAGAGGTATTTATTAAACGCCCTTTGAAGAAAAATGCAAGAGATTTCGAAGCAAAGATCCAGAATAGAGAATCTTAGACTCCAAGTATTTGAGATATTACTTACTCCATCACAAAAAAATGACTGAATACACAGTAATATTATCAAATAGACAAAAGTCTTAAATTTTTCTCTTGGGAATATCAGTCTAAAGATGGTGGCCCATTCATAAAAAAAGATTATAGTCATGAATGGATTCTTGAACTTATAACAACTAGATTAAAAAATCTTCAGAGGGAGGGTGCCTGCGTGGGTCAGCCAGTTAGGTGTCTGCCTTCAGCTTAGGTCATGATCCCAGGGTCCTGGGATCAAGTTTGCATCGGGCTCCCTGGTCAGTGGGGAGACACTTCTCCCTCTCTCTCTGTTCCTACCCCCATGCTTGTGTTCTCTCTCTTGCTCTCTCAAATAAATAAATAAAATCTTAAATTAAAAAAAAAAAAAAACTTCAGAGGGAAAAAAATGGGAGTGTTATCCCTTCTAGGAAAAAATGAATCTATAAGGAGAGAGTCCAGGAGGGTTATAAATCTTTTAAAAAAGATTAAAAAGTGAATGATTGAAAATTATCCTGAGGAAGAGAACAATGAAGTTTTCAAATAAACTAATTTCCCTTTATAAAATCTCTCTCATGAGTCCAAATTTAAAGTAACCCCGTAGAGAAGATGGAGCAAAAAAGATGACTATGGAGCAAACTCCAGATGACTATGGAGCAAAAACAGGCATTTATGTGGAGACTGTTGAAAGTGGAATCCTATTATCTACTGGTTTGTCAAGGAAAAGTCTACAACATGCGGTTATGATATAATACAACTAGGCATAAAACCAGAATTACCCTTACACTAGTCTTCTTTGTCAAGGAGACTGACCTTGGAAGGAAGAGGGACAGAGAAGCACATAAAAAAGGCTACATCTCCTAAGTATGTGAGGTAAGTTTAAGAACTTCCCCGAACTAGTGGAAGTCTCCAGAATCAAGTGAACTTCCGTTGAAGATGCTCAGAAAATATAAAAGACCACTAAACTATTATCTCAAACTAAGAAGAGAGGCTCCTGGCAAACATCATTCAGGTATTAAAGCAGGGAAGAAAGGTGGATTCTAAAAACCAATATAGGGGAGCCTGGGTGGCTCAGTGGTTTAAGCCTCTGCCTTCAGCTCAGGTCATGGTCCCGGGGTCCTGGGATCGAGCCCCACATCAAGCTCTATGCTCGGCGGGGAGCCTGCTTTCCCCTCTCTCTCTGCCTGCCTCTCTGCCTACTTGTGATCTCTGTCTGTCAAATAAATAAATAAAATCTTTAAAAACCAATATAAACATACCATTGGTTCTGGGAAAAAGACCAAGAAAGTTTATCGAAACAAAGATTTGTCAGTATCAGGAAACACTGTTCAGTAAGACCTGGGTGGCGACTGGTTAGAAAGAGCTGGTCAGTCAGAAAAATGTCATTTCTTTGATGCTTGATGAATGAGGCTGAACATTAACTACCTGTAAGATCCTTACAGACTTTGTCTTGTTAATATTGTTATCCAAATTTACATATAAAGACAAGTATCATTCTCAAAATCAAGTATCTGGTAATCAGTGGAGCTGACATTTGAATCCCAGGCTGCTGGACCCTAAAGCTCATGCTCTCTCCTACATTTGCCAAATTAAAACAATGAGATTGGTTAATTTCCATGTGCATTTGTCAACTGAGTGGAGTAATACCTAATCAACCAGCTCCTATCTAACTGGAAGGAAGCTGCCTATCACAGGGTTTTGCCCAAAGATTGAGGTGCAGATAAACAGGACACTCATCAGATCTAGAGATAATACTGAATTGCAGCAATGGAATCATGTTGCAAATGTAATTAAGACCCCCCCAAATGACCATTGTCTGGAGTAGCAGAGTGAACCTAATGAGATGGCACTTAATGGTAGTAAAAATCAAGTTCAGTGTTTAGGTCCAAATAATAACTGTGCAAGGATGAAGGAGATATGCAAGGTTTTACCAAAAGTACAAATTTGGCTTAAAATAAATGATTGTATTTGATACTGTGCATAAAGTTCCTTAAGGAACATTATCTGTGTAATCTGAGAAGAATAATTGAGTTTTTTTGAAGACTGAATTCCTCATCCCTTGAATAGAGGTAGTAATTTCTGTATCACGTGTTGTAGACAAAGAAGATGACATTGGTCCTGGTAGTGGCTGAAATAGATCAAGATAGAATTGTTCTGATTCCCAGTTTAGTGCTCCTTGGACTCCATCACTGCCAGGCTGACGCTGCCACAATGCAACATCACAAACTCTCTCCTTAGCACACTGTATAGATTTATGCATGCTTGTATGTCCATAAAGGCATTTTAATTTTTTATATGTTATTTATATTTACATAAATTACATGAGATTTATACACAACATTTGCTTTAAATCTCACATTCTGTGCATTTCTCCATTGCAAAGTAGCCATGGCCCAGGAAGCATTTGGAGCTAAAATGAAAGGCTTTATAATAAATATTACCCTTTGTGTGTGCATGGAAAATGGTCCCTTTCCCTAGTTTTCCCTGAGGGCACACTATTTTGGCTTTATTGTGACACTTCACTGTGACATTGCAATGAGGGAAAGCCATGCTTTACATGTCACTGAAAGAAATGCCACAAAATGCTAACATATCTTCTCAAGGTTGCCAGAAATAATTTCCACTGGGTTGTGTTTTCCCATCTGCGGAGCTCTGAAATGTTAAGGAAATAAATGAGCTCTATTATCTATATTTTTCTAGTAGATGAGAAAGAAAGAAAAAAAATACACTCAGCCCTGCATTTATTGTTCTATTCAATCAAACTGTTGCTTTAAACATCCAGAGTCCTCGAGGGAACTTTATCAATGCACCAAATACCTTTCAACACCATATTTAATATCTGTGGTTTTGATTTTATTGAAATATATTTAAAGATCTGTATTTTTACTTTAAAGAAATTTTTATTACATAATTGAGAAATCCTTCCATTTAGAAACTCAGATTCTTATTTGAAAATGATATTCCCTTTGGTGACAACATATGGCTGAAATTTTACTCAAAACAATGATTGAGGAAAAACAATAATTAGATAACATTAATGATAGGCTCAGTGCTGGAAGTATGTTTAGAAGTCAAATTCATTGATCTTTCAGATTTCAAAAAAGAAAACAACAAATTAGGGAACTATGAATCCCCAAAATCTGTCCAATAAACACCGGGCTCTACAGTTTCACAATTTATCTTTCCCAATAATAAATTCTCAATGCAAGTCTTAAAAAGACATGTAACAAATTAAAAAATGAAGGCTCAGTAACAGATATACTCTGAGCACACTCCCACAAAGAATAAAATAGAAAAAGCAATGAAAGTTATGAATCCCTGAGCCTAAGGAAATTATTTATATGTTCCATTTCTGTGGAATATTCACAGTGGGTATTTGTATAGATTTCTTTTAATTAGGAAGAATATCAGAGACTTGGGGAAAGGAACCAAGAAGTATGCATTTGAATTAAAATGACTGGCAGAAAAAAACAAAGATACAATTATTGAAAAAGAAAAAAAATTTTTAAACTACTTTTATTTTCAGAGACACGATTTTATTTAAGGAAAATCCAAAAGATTCTACACATAAAATATTAAAAGAAGGAATAAAATATAATAAGGTCATTAAAAATTATTTGAACTTCTATAAACAAATCAATAAAAAATTAGGAAAAAAACATTTATAATGCACAGAAATATGAAATGCTTAGGAATAAACCTAACAAAAGATGCATAAAACTTATACAAAACATTTAAAGAAAATTAAAGAACTAAATAGAGAAATATAAGATGCACATGGAATAAAAGAGTCAGTATGCAAGATTTCAATTCTCCCCAAATTTATGTTAGATTCAAGGCCATCTCAAAGAAAATTCCAAGAACATTTTTTTTTGAAATTAATAACTTAGTTCTAAAATTTGTGTGAAAATAAAAAAAAGCTAAGAATGGCATAAATCATCTTGAAGAAAACAACAAAGTTGAAAAACTTACAGTTTTGAATGTCAAAGTTTATATAAGCCTATATCGCACATGACATAGGGTGCTGTGGTGCAAGCATAAACAAACAGACCAATGAAACAGAATAAATGTTCCATCGACTTGGGTCCAGAAATAGGCTCACATATATATGGTCAATTTTTGACAATGGTGTCATTGAGAAAAGGGTTGTTTCTTCAATGAACGGCACTGAGCCAACTGGATATCTATCTAAAAAAAAAAAAATGTTTTGTCTTCTACCTTATAGTATATACAGCAAACAATTCTGGAAGAATTATAGATCTAAAAAACGAACAAGTCAGTAGAAAAAGTAAGCCACAGAATGGGAAAAGGTATTTGCAGTTCACCTTTATTTTAAAAAAGTACATACAGAATATATAAAGAATTCTTGCAAATAAATAAGAAACTAACAATTTAAAAGTGGACAAAAGATGTGGGCAGGCACTTACAAAAGAACAGATACACAAATGAAGGGGGGTTCAGGCTCTTTCAACTCCAGAGAAATGCAAAAATATATATTGGTTCCTTGGCTAATAAAGTGATAACCATAAATGAAATCCTCTAAAACTTCTTCCTTCCCATTTCCAAAATAGCAAACCCAAAATCTTATATTCTAGAAGGAATAGTAAAGATTAGTGCCATCCTTAAACTTAGAGGATGTATGGTCAGTGGTTCCTATAATTTTTCCATTAAATTTACAATTGCAGACCCTAATAAGGTTAATGATTCTGGTGGTTAATGGTAGACTACCATGAACTCAAACAAATAATAGTTCTAACCACAACAGCTAAAGAGTGAAATCTTTACTTCAGCAGATTAAGACTCAAATATGTACTCAGTCACTGACATGGGAAATGTGTTCTTTCCCATCTCTATCAGAGAGCAGAACCAAGACCAGCCAGTGTTCCAATGATAAAGAAAAGAGCGTAGATCTAAATCCTTGCTGAAGACTGCACATTCTGCTGTCCTTGATCATAATGCAGTCTGAGTAATCCAGACATCCCACAAAATATCACATTGGTAAATTATGTTGATTACATCATATTAACCAGAACAGATCATCAAAAGCAGCAAGTATTCTGGAAGTTTTGACAAGACATCTGTGTTCTAGAGGGCGTAAGATAAATCAACAAAGATTCAGAGGCACAACATACCAGTGAAGTTTTAAGGGGCTCAGTGGACTGGAACATTCTGAATGTCCCCATTTATAATAAAGGACAAATTATTGCATGTTACACTTTCTACATTGAGATAGAATCATAATGCCAGATTAGCCTTTTTAGATTTGGGGGACAGCATATTCCACACTTAGGAATATTATTCGGACCCATGCATTGCGTGACAAGGTGGGTGGAAAGATTTGAAGGAGCTGGAGAGCTGTTCCAGGCTACACTGGGATAGCCTTGCTGGTTGGACATAAAACCCAATAGACCCTATGGTATGTTTAGAGGTACCTGTGGCAAAAGAAAAAGATACTTAACGGAGTTTACGGCAATATCTAATGGAAGAATCACAACACAAATCTATAGGCTTCTGGGGCGAGGCCATGACCTTGCAGCAAAGAGTTATAAATTACTCGAAAAACAGCTCTAGCAGAAATAGATTCTCTGACCTTGAGATCAGAGCTGGTCATCGTGAACTGGATTCTGTTAGAACTACCAAGTTATTATTCAAGCATGCCTAGAAGTAGTCCATCATAAGATGAAAGGTCCAATATTAGGCTGAAGCAAGTTTAGAGGAGACAAGCAAGACGAATGAATAGATCTCCATGACATTTCACCACTATGGTGGCAGTGCCTCACCCCCAGCTGCCACAGAAGAACCCAAATATCAAATACAAAGGAAGAAAAATAATGAACTTGATTTATAAGCGTGTTGGCTCAGCATCTGAGTGCAATCTGGAAATAGGCTGCTGGTCACCACTTAAGAATGCCTGGTCACCACTTTGCATGAAGAGAAAAGTTGCCAAAGTCAGAAAATAGATGTACCCATAGCGAAAGTGAATAGTTTCAGAGAGGAATGGTTTAGCTGGAAGGTCAGCAAAGAGAAGGTCTGAGGAAGAGGCATGTGGTTGGACTTATAAAAATTAGGATGAAATGTGAAGGCCATTGTCTTGCATGATCACATCCACCAGAGAGAACATATGAAGGAATAAACATTAAACCACCAACCAGACAGAATGGCCTGGTCAGAAGTCAGCCAGTCTGTCTTCAGCTGTCATATGCTGTTGCAGTAGAGTCATTAATGGAGTAGACTCAGGGGAAGGGAATGAGGCATTGAACAGACCCCAAAATGTGGATTCCCACTAAGACTAATTTAACTACTCTCACTCCAATCTATCAGCAAAAGAAATAAATGGCTTGTACCCAATATGACACCATCCCTGAGGAGACCAAATAGCCACTGGGCCCTTTTTATTCTGGAAGGGACAACAATTCAACTTGACTGGAAATAACACATATTCTGGATATGGATTTGCTTTTCTTGCCTTCAGAGCCTCAAATAGTAGCACTATCTGAGGGCTTACAGAACATTTGTTCTACTAACAAAAAATTCTCATACATTTCATTGGACCAAGGGACCCTGTTAGGAAGACGACTATGGAAACAAAATAATTGGATACACTGTTATTATCACTTACCATACATCGCAGAAATTGCTGGCCTGATAGAGTGATACAATGGCTTCTGGAAGGCATAGCGAAGATGCTACCTTTGAAGGTGATACCCTGCCAAGATGAAATCATATGGCATTTGTTTTTCTCCATCTGATTTACTTCCCTTAGCATAATACTCTTAAGGTCCATCCATGTTGTTACAAATACAAGATTTCATCCTTTTTATGGCTGAGTATTTGTGTGTGTGTGTGTGTGTGCGTGCGTGTGTGAGACATCATCTTTAACCATTCATTCATTGGTAAATACCTTGGTTGTTTCCATATCTTGGTATTGTGAATAGTGTTGCAAAGAACGTAGAGGTGCATGTATCTTTTCAAATTAGTGTTTTTCCTTTCTTCAAATAAGTACCCAGAAGTGGAATTCTTAGATCATACAGTTCTACTTTTAGTTTTTTGCGGAATCTCCTTTCTGTTTTCCATAGGGATGCACCAATTTACATTCCCACCAACATTGCACAAGTGTTCCCTTTTCTTCACATCCTCACTAACACTTGTTATTTCTTATCTTTTTGATAATAGCCATCCTGACTGGTGTGACATGATATTTCATTGTGGTTTTGATTTTATTTCCCTGATGATTAGTGATGTTGAACATCTTTTCATATGTCTGTTGGCCAACTGTATATCTTTGGAAGCATATCTATTCAGATTTCTGCCTGTTTTTTAATTGGATTGTTTGTGTCTCATTGTTGTTAGTGTTATTATTAAGCTGTATGAGTTCTTTATATATATTGAATATTAACCCCTTAGCAGATAAATGATTTGCAAATATCTTCTCTCACTGAGTAGGTTGCCTTTATGTTTTCTTGATGATTTTCTTTATCGCACAGAAGCTTTTTAGCTTGATTTAGTGCTATTTGTTTATTTTGCTTTTGTTGCCATTGCCTTTGGAGTCAGAGTCCAAAAAATATCACCAAGAACAATGCAAAGGAGTTTACTGCCTATGTTTTCTTCTACGACTTCTGTGAGTTTTGGTATCCAAGTCTTTAAACCATTTCTTTGTTAATGTCTATCATATAAGACAGTGGTCCAGTTTCATTCTTTTGCATGTGGCTGTCCAGTTTACCCAGCACCATTTATTGAAGAGACTGTCCTTTCTCCATTGTATATTATTGCCTCCTTTGTCATATATCAACTCACTATATATGTGTGGGTTTATTTCTGGGCTCTCCCTTCTGTTCCATTGGTCAGTGTTTCTGTTTTTATACCAATACCATACCGTTTTAATTACTATAGCTTTTAACACAGTTTGAAATCAGAAAGTGAGAGGCTTCTAGCTTTTTTCTTCTTTATCAAATTTGTTTTGGCTATTCAGGATCTTTCGTGGTTTCATACAAATTTTAGGATTTTTTCTATTTTTGTGAAAAATGCCTTTGGAATTTTGATGGGGATTGTATTGAATCTGTAAAGTGCTTTGGGTAATACAGACATTTTAACAATATTAATTCTTCTAATCTATGGCATGGAATATCTTTCCATTTACTTGTGTCTTCTTCAATTTATTTCATCAATGTCTTGTTGTTTTAGAGTACAGGTGTCTCAACTCCTTGGTTAAGTTTATTCCTAGGTATATTTTTTAATGCAATTGTAAGTAAGAACATTTTTTTAGGATTTCTCTTTCTGATAGTTTGTTATTGGTATATAAAAGCACGACAGATTTTTATAAATTGATTTTGTATCCTGTAACTTTACTGAATTCATTTATTAGTTCTAAGTTTTTTTGATGAAGGTTTTAGAAAGATTTTCTATGTGTAGAGTCACATCATCTGAAAACAGTGACAGTTTAATTTCTTCCTTACCAATTTAGATGTTTTTTTAATTTATTTTTCCTGTTTGATTTCTGTGGGTAAGATTTGCAGTACTACATTGAATAAAAGTCGTGTGAGTGGACAACTTGCCCTGTTCCTGATATTAAAGGAAATGCTCTCAGTTTTTCATCATTGAGTATGGTGTTAGTGGTGTACTTATATATGGCCTTTATTATGTTGAAGTACATTCCTTCTACACCTACTTTGTTGAGCATTTTTAGCATAAATATATGTTGTTTTTTTCAAATGTCTTCTCTGCATCAATCGAGATGATCATAAGATTCTTTTATCCTTCACATTCATTTATATTGGTAGGTGAACCATCCTTGAATCCCTGAAATATAACCCACCTGATCACAATGTATAATCTTTCAGTTTGCTAATATATTTGTTGAGGATTTTTGCATCTGCATTCATCAGAGGTTCTAGACTGTAATTTCCTTTTGTGTGTGTGTTGTCCTTGTCTGCTTCTTTGTAGCCAGGCAATTCTGGCCTTGTAAAATGAGTTTGGAAATATTCCCTACTCTTCAATGTTGTGAATAATTTGGGAAGGAAAACTATTGAATATTCTTTGAATATTTGGTAGAATTCACCAGTGAAGCCATCTGGCACTGGACTTCCGTTCATTGGAAGGTTTTTGATTACTGCTTCAAGATCCTTACTAATTGTCTACTCAAATTTTCCATTTCTTCATGATTTAGTCTCAGAAGATTTTGTTTCTAAGAATTATTGATTTCTTCTAGGTTGTCATTTATTGGCATATAATTGTTCACAGTATTCTATTACGATCCTTTGTATTTCTTTGGTATCAGTTGTAACTTTCCCTCTTTCATTTTTGATATTATTTATTTGAGCCCTCTCTTTTTTTTTTCTTAATGAGTCTAGCTAAGAGTTTATCAATTTTTTAAAAATCTTTTTAAAGATCCAGCTCTCAGGCCCACTGTTTTTTCTTTTTTTTTCTTTTTTCTATTGTCTTTTTGGTATCCATTCCATTTATTTCTGCTCTGATCTTTATTATTTTCTACCTTCTTTTCATTAACTTTGAGCTTCATTTGTTTCCTTTTTTCTTGTCCCTTTTGTTGTAAAGTTAAATTGTTTATTTGAGATTTGGGTGTAAAGTTAGATTATTTATTTGAGATAGTTCTTGTCTCTTGACATAGGCCTGAATTACAATGAATTTTCATTTTAAAACTGCTTTTGCTTCATCCCATAGATTTTGGTATATTGCATTTCATTTTCACTTGTCTCAGGTATTATTTTTTTTCCTCCTTTGACTTCTTCATTGATCCAATGGTTGTTCAGTAACATGTTGCTTAATCTCCACGTTTGTGATTTTCCCAGTTTGTTTTCCATGATCAATTTCCAGTTTCACACCACTATTGTTAGAAAAAGATGCTTGTTATTATTTCAATATTCTTAAGTTTATTTGGGCTTGTTTTGTGAGCGAAGATATGATCTGTCCTGGAGAATGCTCCATGTGCACTTGAGAAGAATGTGTTTTCTGCTGCTTTTGGATAGAACGTTCTGTTAGGTCCATCTGGTCTAATGTGTCAGTGTTTCTTGATGTAAGTGGGTGTTAGTGTCCCCTACTACTACTGTATTACCATTGATTTCTGCCTTTAGGTCTGTTAATACCTGCTTTGCATAATTAGGTGCTCCTATGTATGATGCATAAATATTTGTAGATGCTATATTTTTTTGCTGCATCGACCCTTTTGTCATTATGTAATGCCCTGCTTATCTTTCATTACAGTCTTTGCTTTTAAGTCTATTTTGTCTGAAATAAGTATAGCTACCCCAGCTTTTTGTTCATTTGTTTCCATCTTCATAAAACACCTTTTCCCATCACTTCACTTTCAGTCTGTGTGTTTTCTTACATTTGAGGCAAGTCTGCTGTAGGCAGAATATATAGATAGCCTTGTTTTTTTAATCCAATTATCCACTCTGTGTCTTTTGATTGGAGTATTTATCTCATTTATATTTAAAGTAATTATGAATAGGTATGTACTTATTGCCGTTTTGTTCAGTGTTTTTGGTGCTTTTGTAGTTGCTCTCTGTTTCTTTTTTCTTTTCTTACCTTCTTCCATTGTGGTTTGATGCCTTTCTTTAGCATTATTTTTAGATTGCAGTTTCATCATTTTTTGTGTAGCTACTATAGGTTTTTGCTTTGAGGTTACCATGATGCTTACATATGGCAATGTATATAAACTAGTCTATTTTAAATTGATAGCAAGTTAAGTTTGAACTAAACTGAATTTTCATTCCTCACTCCCACTTTCTATGTTTTTGATGGCACATTGCACATCTTTTTATTTTGTCTATTTCTTTTTTAAAAAAGATTTATTTACTTATTTTAGAGAGAAAGAGAGTGTGGGGGAGTAGGAGCAGAGGGAGAGAATCTGAGGCAGACTCCTTGCAGAGTGTGAAACCCAATGGGGTTCAACTGAGTCATCCAGATGCACTATTTTGCCTATTTCTTAACTAATTTTTACATTTATAGTATTTTTTTTTACCATTCTTGTCTTTTAACCTTCATGCTAGCTTTATAAGTGATTACTAACTTTATTATATATTTACCTTTACTAGTGAGCTTTTACTTCCATGCATTTTCTTGTTACTAATTAGTACTCTTTCTTTCAGCTTAAAGAAGTCCCTTTAATATTTCTTGTATAGTAAGTTTAGTGGTGATGAGCTACTTTACTTTTCAATTATCTGAAAATCACTTTGTCTCTTTTTCAGTTTTGAATGATAACCTTAACATGTATAATATCTTTGGTTAGAAGTTTTCACTTTCAGCATTTTGAACATATAATGATACTCCTTTTTGGACTGCAAAGTTTCTGTTGAAAAATCTTCTCATAGTCTTATGGGGGTTTTCTTGTACATACCAAGTCGTTTTTCTCTTGCTGCTTTTAAGATTCTGCCATTATCTTTAACTTTTGACATTTTAATTATGATGTATCTTGGGGTGGATCTCTGGATTCATCTTATTTGAAATTTTCTGAACTTCTTAGATCTGGCTATTTGTTTCCTTCCTCAGGTTAGGGGTGTTTTAGGCTATTATTTCTTCTAATATGTTTTCTGTCCCTTTTTCTCACTTCTCCTTTTGAGACCTTTATAGTGTGAATGTTGTTCTATGTTCTATGTTCAAGTTGATCTTGTCCCATAGGTCCTTTAAGTTATTTTCACTTTTTAAAATTCTTTTTTCTTTTTGATGCTCTGTTTGGTGAGTTCCACTGCCTTG